CACCAGTAGAGCGACAATAAACCCACCCGTGCTTAAGGGCAATCTAAAGTAGGAAGAAGAAAATAGAAAACGATGAAATCTTCTCTTCGTTGGATTGGGCCCTAGGCCTACTCAAAATAAACTGTAGGCCTAGTTGTGTCATTTGAACAACTTCTTCTGAAACCAATTCTGAACGTTTGTAGGCTACTATATAGTCAACAGCTTGCTCCTCCAAAAGTTATGTAGGCTTAGGCCTATTTAGATCTAATTAAATAATTATTGATTTCATGTTAATTCATGTAGGCTACACATTTGTAGGCTACTGCAGCCTATACAATGACGTTTAGTTTCACATAATCGTGAGTCGTTTTGGATAGCCTAATTGGTGGGATAATGAATAAATCGAATAATCAACACTTTAATGCAGATTTCCCAATAAGAAATATGATGACTATGGTGACAAGACTAAGAACTGTTATTTATTACACTGATGTGAAAGGAACCTCCAGCAACAGATGTCCAGATACAATTCTCGGGTTGTTTACAATTTCACAAGAATTGCGTTTGGACAATCAACCGCAAGGGCTCAAAGTATGTCTCTCCAAACTCATAGCTCTCATAGTTCAAAACAGTTCTTAATTAATCTATTTGAATTAATTATATAAATTGTCTTTGAATCTGTAAAACATATAGGCCTATAGAAAATATGGAGACACTATCATTGACTGTCATTCCAATCATGCACCTGACTCACAAAGGATCATCTTTTTTGTTTGTTGGTAAAATGAAATATAATCAGTTGCAGCCTACAGGAACCTCATATTAATTAAGTTCATATCGATATGTGTAAATTAAACTAATAAAGTTTAAAAAGCAGTAGGCCTGTTGTTTACTTATATAGCAAAACTTTTGATATTATATTTAAAACATTTTATAATAACCCAGCAGGTCTAGTAACATGCACATGCACATTTCATATACAAAATATCTGGTATTTTCTATAATCTGATCTTTGATAGCTACCAATGGCATGATTTACCCGAAGATTTTACATCGACGAAGGCCCTCGAAGATGATACAATTTCCCATTCAAAAACATCCACAACGCTGAAATAACTTTTCTTAATTCAATGTCATAATAAGCCCACATTAAAAGATGGTTGATTATTTGGTGTTTGCTCTAAGCATCAGCATCAGAAGAAACGCACTCTTTGGAACGAGGCGTTCTTCAAACTCCATTCCGCCTGCGTTTCGCCTTATCTGTACCTGTAAGACGCATCTTCTTGCACATATAGTTTCCATATCATTATAGAGCAGAACACAGGCAATTGAACTCGAATTCAAATTCTTCCAATCATACAAATATACACCCCTCGGCGGTTATAGTATTAATTTTCAAACGTTATAAGGTGACAACACAGAACATTACTGATGCGAGAAAGTCCAAAGGAAAATTGTTAAAACGCGAGTGCACCTGCTCCTCCGCGGTCCCCAATCATAATTTCTTGAATACTCCAGCTTTTAGAAAAATCATAGGAGGCGAAAAAGGGGTTATATGAGTCAACTCGTGGTGCTCCTTCAACTGGCCATTACTTGATAGGACGAATGCATGGGAATGGCACTGTGCGCTCGCTATGCTGTTATCCAAAAGCTTTTCTTGAGCTCCACTAACAATAACGGTGTTACGGAGATGGACGGCAAGAGGGAGTGGGGATGGTCTTCGCTTGGTACTGAATTTGAATAACACCACGGGTTGATTAATGTCCATTGTGCTGAATAAGTAATGATTCTTCTAGCACACACAAGCCAGCAGCTGCGAATGAAGGACCAGCAACCATTTAAAGATACAACAGTCCTATTTTGCCTCTCCAGGGCAATTACAATCAAAACACTGTTACCCTTGCAAAACGTATATTGTTAATAGACGAAATGACGTGTCCTCTCGCTCTATTGTTTCAGAAAAACAAAACCTGGGGTATTCATTCAATTTAGCCTAGTAAGTCTAACCAGGCACTAACAAATCAACTTGTTTGTTCAGTAGTTTATTTAAAATAATTAATGTCTGGACTTTTGGCAATTGTTTTGGTTGTTAATAACATATTCATTACATATTAATTAGTAGAGCCTTTATAAGACCATAAGATACATATGATAACTATAATTAGGCTACGGAGGAATAAAATATTGTGTAGTTTAGGCCTAAGTCTATGCCTAATTTCTCAAATAAGGCTATTGCAGTAGTTTTTAGGAAAATCTTCAAGACATAGACTCGAATTTTTTGTATGGCACAGGTGATTGACAGGTGGACCACAAATGCGCAAGGGTGATGTGGTGCTTATGGGTCTAAAATTGTGACCTCATTCTGATGATACAAACTTACCAGTTACTGTCCAGGCGCTCAGAAGACCTGCAACTATTCTCACTACTACTATTCTTCTGGTTTTCCGACTAAAACATATTTTTCAAATGGCAATTCGATCGAATGGGTAGGATTATTCAATACGTTCGATTGCTATATCACTTCCCTTCGAATATCCATCGCATGTTGTCGAGGTAGGTAAACCTTGCCGAAAAGGCATGCTACTTGCGCTTCACACTCTGATGCTTTAGGCCTATAGCTTGGGTTTATAGGCTACTCCTCTCTGATAAATTATTAAACAGTGACCGCCTTCGGGGTTGGGCTCTCCTCTCTTTTCCCTTTTAAAGACACCTCAGTTGGTTTAATCAGTTAACATTTCCTTTGCTGGGAACATCTTCTCACTTTCGAAGCTCATTTGCCTCTTAAAGGGCCTGCCCGCTGCTTCCTTTTCACTGCCATGTCAGAATAATTTAGTGCAGGAGGCAGGAGATCACTGGAGATTTTGGCTAAAGAGAGGGAAAGGACGCGTTAAAGCGAGTGAGGACTTCACTGTGATTCACTAAACCCATTCAGTTCATTGGAGGAAAAAAAAGACATTATGAACCCACTTATGAAAGTCATAGACTAAAAATATCTGCATTGGGAAGAAAGATAATTATATTTCTCAGATAAGCCTGCAAGTTTTCTGCTGTAGTTTAGCACATCATGGAAATATACGTTTCTGAGAGCTGATAAATTGGTCTTCTTGGGTTTTCTGACAGCAAAAAACGTATCCTGTATTAACAGCATCCTATGGCAATATGCGGGTAAATTTCATTTAATTCATTTCCAGTTTAAGAGATTGAATCTCCATTCATACATTTTTTGTTATTGTCCTGATGTCAACTTTGGCATTTCAAAAGTTTCAATGATAGCTGATGCTTCCAAGTTTGTCACCACCAGTCACCACTACATGGAACAAACACATAAGGGCACTTTCCCCAGTGCAGCAGATTTGAATAGGCCTAGCCTATTTTTCAAGGTCTGAATATAATAACATAATTTAGGCTATAGGAAGCATTTTCGTAAACGTTCAAAGTACACTGTTCAAAAAAATAAAGGGAACACTAAAATAACACATCCTAGATCTGAATGAATGAAATAATCTTATTAAATACTTTTTTCTTTACATAGTTGAATGTGCTGACAACAAAATCACACAAAAATGATCAATGGAAATCAAATGTATCAACCCATGGAGGTCTGGATTTGGAGTCACCCTCAAAATTAAAGTGGAAAACCACACTACAGGCTGATCCAACTTTGATGTAATGTCCTTAAAACATGTCAAAATTAGGCTCAGTAGTGTGTGTGGCCTCCACGTGCCTGTATGACCTCCCTACAATGCCTGGGCATGCTCCTGATGAGGTGGCGGATGGTCTCCTGAGGGATCTCCTCCCAGACCTGGACTAAAGCATCCACCAACTCCTGGACAGTCTGTGGTGCAACGTGGCGTTGGTGGATGGAGCGAGACATGATGTCCCAGATGTGCTCAATTGGATTCAGGTCTGGGGAACGGGCGGGCCAGTCCATAGCATCAATGCCTTCCTCTTGCAGGAACTGCTGACACACTCCAGCCACATGAGGTCTAGCATTGTCTTGCATTAGGAGGAACCCAGGGCCAACCGCACCAGCATATGGTCTCACAAGGGGTCTGAGGATCTCATCTCGGTACCTAATGGCAGTCAGGCTACCTCTGGCGAGCACATGGAGGGCTGTGCGGCCCCCCCAAAGAAATGCCACCCCACACCATGACTGACCCACCGCCAAACCGGTCATGCTGGAGAATGTTGCAGGCAGCAGAACGTTCTCCACGGCGTCTCCAGACTCTGTCACGTCTGTCACGTGCTCAGTGTGAACCTGCTTTCATCTGTGAAGAGCACAGGGCGCCAGTGGTGAATTTGCCAATCTTGGTGTTATCTGGCAAATGCCAAACGTCCTGCACGGTGTTGGGCTGTAAGCACAACCCCCACCTGTGGACGTCAGGCCCTCATACCACCCTCATGGAGTCTGTTTCTGACCGTTTGAGCAGACACATGCACATTTGTGGCCTGCTGGAGGTCATTTTGCAGGGCTCTGGCAGTGCTCCTCCTGCTCCTCCTTGCACAAAGGCGGAGGTAGCGGTCCTGCTGCTGGGTTGTTGCCCTCCTACGGCCTCCTCTACGTCTCCTGATGTACTGGCCTGTCTCCTGGTAGCGCCTCCATGCTCTGGACACTACGCTGACAGACACAGCAAACCTTCTTGCCACAGCTCGCATTGATGTGCCATCCTGGATGAGCTGCACTACCTGAGCCACTTGTGTGGGTTGTAGACTCTGTCTCATGCTACCACTAGAGTGAAAGCACCGCCAGCATTCAAAAGTGACCAAAACATCAGCCAGGAAGCATAGGAACTGAGAAGTGGTCTGTGGTCACCACCTGCAAAACCAGTCCTTTATTGGGGGTGTCTTGGTAATTGCCTATAATTTCCACCTGTTGTCTATTCCATTTGCACAACAGCATGAAAAATATAAAAATATATATATTTTTATTGTCAATCAGTGTTGCTTCCTAAGTGGACAGTTTGATTTCACAGAAGTGTGATTGACTTGGAGTTACATTGTGTTGTTTAAGTGTTCCCTTTATTTTTTGGAGCAGTGTATATGCTAGGCCCAAACATTTGGCCCTCTTATTGGAAACACATTCTCTTTACATTCCCTTACTTTCATTAAAGTTCATCCTGTTTTGTACGCCTATAACAGATGCAATAATATACAAACCAGGCCCATAGCCCATGATCTGTGCATCTCAGTGTAGCCTAACTCATCAAGTTATCATATCTACAGTATATTTTCTGTGACCGTCTGTGTTCTTTTGTTGATAGGGAGAAACCTTCACAGTATTTAGGTGAATGTGTAAACACATTTAGGCTCCAAGCCTCTCTGTGAGTCAGTAGAACTGGGGAATCCTCTTGTTTTCACTTCTCTTGTCATGTTCACCTTTCTCTGGACTTAAAACAGCATGCCAATACTGCACAGTTGCTAGGTAACGAGGGTATAGGGGCCACAATAAGCTAGGTGAGGGTGGCTGGCTGTGACATATGGCATCCCTAAACAGGAGCCTCAATATAAGGTCCTGCACTAAACCATTAGGCTTAGCTTCACAGTCATATCCCAAGGAGTGGGAAGACAGACAGTATCCTCCTTGATAATTACAAAGGGCTTTGTTGAGAAAGTTCACCTTTACAACCAGTCAATTCCATCCAGATTCCTGTACTGATCATGTCCATATTAAGTTATTATTGTTCCCAGGTCAGTGTTGGAAAGCTACTCTGAAAATATAGCTTGCCAAGCTACCAATTACTTCACACTGGAATAAGTTAAACTACACTAAAGCTACCCTTTAAAAAAATATAGTTACTTTGAAAAAGTAGTTCACTACATCTAAACTACTTTATGAATAACTAATATATGTAAATATGAAATGTCATAGAGTACAAATTGCAAGAACAGATCACTTTGGGGTTAAAGCTAGAAAACGGTTGACCCCGCCTCTGTTATGGTCAAAAGCTGAGGGATGGGCCTGGAGAAATGTAATGACTCTCCAATTCATAAACAAAGCTATGAATGCAAGACTGACCATCCAAGATATCAACATTTTTGTTTTAACCAGGATATACAGTGTTTGTTTACATTTACATTGTTTACAAACATTGGAGTAAAACAAGCTTATATTTTGGGTTCTGATGGGTACGACAGTTGAACTAAGCTCATGAGGCATTTATACATTATATTAATTTATAATTTATAAGTCCAAAAATTGATATAACAACTAAGGATTTCATCTTGAACAGAATGTGTAATTTAGTCTATCAAACACAAAAACAATGTTTTAAGTGAGAATGAGGCTGGTCTGATGACAAATTTTTATTTATTTATTAGTAGTGTGTAGTTCCAGTAGTTATAGCTACACCACTACATGGCAAACAAGTTATTAACTGCTGAAAACACTACCAATATCTTAATTTAGTTCAACTACCACCAAGCACAGCAAATGTAATTAAATTACTAGTTGAACTACATGTAGTTCACTACTCCCCATCACTGTCTATTGGGGATCATGGTGAATAACGAATCCACTTTAAACTCACCTCAACCTCAAGAAATCTCTAAGGGTCCGCAATTGGGAGTGTCAAGAATGCAGTTTGTGTGTGTGTCCATCCCCCCTCCCTGCCTTGTTGTGTATCCCTGGTCTTAGCACATACAGTGGGGGAAAAAAGTATTTAGTCAGCCACCAATTGTGCAAGTTCTCCCACTTAAAAAGATGAGAGAGGCCTGTAATTTTCATCATAGGTACACGTCAACTATGACAGACAAAATGAGGAAAAAAAATCCAGATAATCACATTGTAGGATTTTTAATGAATTTATTTGCAAATTATGGTGGAAAATAAGTATTTGGTCAATAACAAAAGTTTCTCAATACTTTGTTATATACCCTTTGTTGGCAATGACACAGGTCAAACGTTTTCTGTAAGTCTTCACAAGGTTTTCACACACTGTTGCTGGTATTTTGGCCCATTCCTCCATGCAGATCTCCTCTAGAGCAGTGATGTCGGGGGCGGCAGGTAGCTTAGTGGTTAAGAGCGTTGTGCCAGTAACCGAAAGGTCGCTGGTTCTAATCCCCGAGCCAACTAGGTGAAAAATCTGTCGATGTGCCCTTGAGCAAGGCACTTAACCCTAATTGCTCCTGTAAGTCGCTCTGGATAAGAGCGTCTGCTAAATAATGTAAATGTAATGTTTTGGGGCTGTCGCTGGGCAACACGGACTTTCAACTCCCTCCAAAGATTTTCTATGGGGTTGAGATCTGGAGACTGGCTAGGCCACTCCAGGACCTTGAAATGCTTCTTACGAAGCCACTCCTTCGTTGCCCGGGCGGTGTGTTTGGGATCATTGTCATAATGAAAGACCCAGCCACGTTTCATCTTCAATGCCCTTGCTGATGGAAGGAGGTTTTCACTCAAAATCTCACGATACATGGCCCCATTCATTCTTTCCTTTACACGGATCAGTCGTCCTGGTCCCTTTGCAGAAAAACAGCCCCAAAGCATGATGTTTCCACCCCCATGCTTCACAGTAGGTATGGTGTTCTTTGGATGCAACTCAGCATTCTTTGTCCTCCAAACACGACGAGTTGAGTTTTTACCAAAAAGTTCTATTTTGGTTTCATCTGACCATATGACATTCTCCCAATCCTCTTCTGGATCATCCAAATGCACTCTAGCAAACTTCAGACGGGCCTGGACATGTACTGGCTTAAGCAGGGGGACACGTCTGGCACTGCAGGATTTGAGTCCCTGGCGGCGTAGTGTGTTACTGATGGTAGGCTTTGTTACTTTGGTCCCAGCTCTCTGCAGGTCATTCACTAGGTCCCCCCGTGTGGTTCTGGGATTTTTGCTCACCGTTCTTGTGATCATTTTGACCCCACGGGTGAGATCTTGCGTGGAGCCCCAGATCGAGGGAGATTATCAGTGGTCTTGTATGTCTTCCATTTCCTAATAGTTGCTCCCACAGTTGATTTCTTCAAACCAAGCTGCTTACCTATTGCAGATTCAGTCTTCCCAGCCTGGTGCAGGTCTACAATTTTGTTTCTGGTGTCCTTTGACAGCTCTTTGGTCTTGGCCATAGTGGAGTTTGGAGTGTGACGGTTTGAGGTTGTGGACAGGTGTTTTTTATACTGATAACAAGTTCAAACAGGTGTCATTAATACAGGTAACGAGTGGAGGACAGAGGAGCCTCTTAAAGAAGAAGTTACAGGTCTGTGAGAGCCAGAAATCTAGCTTGTTTGTAGGTGACCAAATACTTATTTTCCACCATAATTTGCAAATAAATTCATTAAAAATCCTACAATGTGATTTTCTGGAGAGAGAAAATCTCAATTTGTCTGTCATAGTTGACGTGTACCTATGATGAAAATTACAGGCCTCTCTCATCTTTTTAAGTGGGAGAACTTGCACAATTGGTGGCTGACCAAATACTTGTTTTCCTCACTGTATGTGTGCTTAGGGGAAGACCCCCCACTGTGCTTTGGGATAGTGAAGCTCAGCCTATAGCTGCTGAGGAGGGAAAACCATTCCTGAATAAATTAGCCTAGTGTCCAGCCTTATGAGTGACCTCTGACCTTTCAGAGAAAAGTTATTGAGGCCACCACTGCACTCTCCTAGGCTGACCACTCAGAGGGGCTGGGAAAGTGCCCTGGTGGGGGAGGGACTGGCTCAAGGGGGGTCACACAAGAGAAAGCGAACGGGGTAGAGAGGTGGGGGTCTGTCATGAGTGGAGAGATTCCTTTTGAGTCCCATTCCCCACATCCACAAGTGTGTCCCTGATGCTTTGTTGTGACTCTGAGCTACGGCCAAACAGAAGGCTTCAAACAGCCCTATCCTACAATGTTTGGCCCCCATTGTTTTCTCCCCCGCCCTTTCTTTCGCCCTGCATCGCTATCTATTCGGCCCATTGTACCGCTTTTCCTTTCTCTCACTCTTGTCTCTTTACGTACTTTTTATATGCTCTTTTCTCAGTTTTTGTGGGCTCTGGTATTCACTGTGGTGAGAATGCTCCACTTCTTGACCAATTGCTACTTTTCATTAAGAACACTCGTTGATGAAGTGTGGTTATAGGCTGAGAATTAAAGGATGGAATCAATATGTTGAACCAGTTAATACAGCAAAGAGAATGAGCTTAAAATATGTGAGGCTTTTGGAAGCTTTCAGGAGTGGCTGCAACATGAGTGGAACAGGTTATGTTATCAGGAAACCCTCTGGTTATACCTCAGTTCATTCACCACTAGTTCCATTTTTTCTCACCGCTATTGATATGATGGTTTTATTGTTTAATCATTGTAATATCAAGTCTTGGTCTCTCCTTGGACCTTGCACATAATTAGACCACCACAAGCCATCCACAAGTGGTAGAATTTATACCATTCTAGGAGATATGCAATGATTATCTTATGCATATGTACATTATTTGTCTTTGAAACGCAGTGTGCTTACATTGTATTTATTTCACATACAAGTCCCAATAATTAAAAACATGTTCACACTTTCATGTTTCTGCAAGATGCAGCTTTGTTTCATCAGCAGCAAAGCTACTATCCCAGAGTGCAGTCATAGCTTCACTGGCTCTGTCAAAGTCTCTTGTCAGTCTCATGTCTGGCCAGTTGTGTCCTTTGGTGGAAAGATTGAGCACACCCTCTGTTTCCCAGTCTGTAATGCTGGTCTGCCTCCTGGTGGCAACAGTGGGGACTGCACATCCTCCTTGTCAGTGAGCTGGGAGAGGAGAATGTCCACACTCTGTTCTAGAACCCCGATGAGAATCTTCTGCTCCTCCTGAGAGAAGCGGCCCAGAACATGCCGGTGCACTGATGTTTTACCCGATGGTCTGCCAATCCCAACACGCAGTCTGGGCATCACCTGGAGGGCACAAGATAGAATAGTACTTTGTCTATCTTGAGAAATAAATGTGTCTTTTTACTCTGCTCTTACCCTCCCCTCCCCTTTAAGACACCAGTTCCCTTTGACAGACATGACATTTCTCTGGATTGTCTAACACTTTCCCAAAATGTGTCAAAGGGAACAGTCATCTCTCAATTCCTCCCAATGTGGGAAGGGAGAGTATTTGTCTGTGTGGAAAGCTACTTACATCAGTCTGCAGACACTCAACACAGGACCGTACACCATTGTGACCCCTGTCAATCAACAACATATAGAAGGAGCACAAAGTTGGGAGGATCACATTGTTGTCAGATGGCATCATTACTAATGCCGATAACTGTCTGGGAATCAACTCACCAGGCGCTCCCTCCTTGTTTCATGGCAAGCTTCCCAAGGGTCTTGTCCAACTCATCATGAACCAGGAGGATGTGCTCAGGCTTGATGCTGTATTTGCTCGCTTGATTCAAGGTCATTAAAACAAAACAATATCATGAACAATGAATTTACAGTAGGAATAGCTCACTTTTGTCATAATTACTCTGACAGTCAAAATTGAAAATTTATAAAATGTCAAAAGACATCAAGTAGACACAAGAATCCACACCTGCTTTGGCCACCGTTCATGTTCATCAGTAGTCGTGGTCGGAGAAGCACGATTTGGATGTCCTGGATGTCAGATACGATGACCGCACCAGACACGTGCCTATCACCATGCCAGCTTTCAGCTAACCCAAGCCGGGCAGCAAGTGCTTCGAGCACTGCCATGCCCACGCTGTGGCGCGAACCGTTCATTCCAGGGTTGCCCAGTCCCACAACCTGCACAAGGACAAGAAATACTTATTTTCCATCTTTGCATATTATATTTCTCTAAACGCCACTGGAGAGTACAGTGATCTCCTCCCACAAGAATGGACCGATTTGTGTAAATTTAGCCACACATTTGACCTGATATGAGGGTTTTAACTAACAATAATACAAAGTCCTGTTTCAAATGTCAAATACACTATATATACACAAAAGTATGTGGACAGCTGTATAAAATCGAGCACACAGCCATGCAAACACCATAGACAAACAAACATTAGCAGTAGAATGGCCTTACTGAAGAGCTCAGTGACTTTCAATGTGGCACCGTCATTGGATGCCACCTTTCTAACAAGTCAGGTTGGCAAATTTCTGCCCTGCTAGAGCTGCCCCGGTCAACTGTAAGTGCTGTTATTGTCAAGTGGAAATGTCTAGGAGCAACAACGGTTCACAGAACGGGACTGCCGAAAGCTGAAGCGCGTAGCGTGTAAAAATCGCCTGTCCTCGGTTGCAACACTCACTACCAAGTTCCAAACTGCCTCTGGAAGCAACATCAGCACAAGAACTGTTCGTCAGGAGCGTCATGAAATGAGTTTCCATGGCCAAGATCACCATGTGCTCGCCGCCATTGGACTCTGTAGCAGTGGAAATGCGTTCTCTGGAGTAATGAATCACACTTCACCATCTGCCAGTCCGACGGACGAAGCTGGGTTTGGTGGATGCCAGGGGAACGCTAACTGCCCCAATGCATAGTGCCAACTGTAAAGTTTGATGGAGGAGGAATATTGGTCTGGGGCTGTTTTCATGGTTCGGGCTAGGCCCCTTAGTTCCAGTGAAGGGAAATCGTAATGCTACAGCATACAATGAATGACATTCTAGACGATTCTGTGCTTCCAACTTTGTGGCAACAGTTTGGGGAAGGCCCTTTCCTGTTTCAGCTTGACAATACCCCCGTGCACAAAGCGAGGTCCATACAGAAATGGTTTGTCGAGATCGGTGTGGAAGAACTTGACTGGCCTGCACAGAGCCCTGACCTCAACCCCATCGAACACCTTTGGGATGAATTGGAACGCCGACTGCGAGCCAGGCCTAATTGCCCAACATCAGTGCCCGACCTCACTAATGCTCTAGTGGCTGAATGGAAGCAAGTCCCTGCAGCAATGTTCCAACATCTAATGGAAAGCCTTCCCAGAAGAGTGGAGGCTGTTATAGCAGCAAAGGGGGGACCAACTCCATATTAATTCCCATGATTTTGGAATGAGATGTTCGACGAGCAGGTGTCCACATACTTTTGGTCATGTAGTGTATATTGTTGAAAGCAGGTGCATCCAAGCAATTAACATCCCATTATGCTTAGGTCGTCATGTTTAAAAATTCTGGGCAGGCTATTATTTTGCCTACCATGGCTATGACCCAATAGGATGACAATGCCTTCATCCACAGGGACATACTTTTGGCCATGTAGTGTACTTTGTATCCCTCATTTACTCAAGTGTTTCCATTATTTTGGCAGTTACCTGTAACTCGTCAGCCTCAAACAAACTCAGACTGATTGGTATCCCGCTGCAAGCCTAGATAGCACTAATTAACATAACTCGTACACCTAAAACAAACTCTTAACCATCTATTAATAAAAAGACAAAGTCATCAAAGTTAGTTAAAAGCCCTCATTTTTATTTAGAAATCCTTCCCCAGTGATCTTTGCAGCCCAAAGGACACTTACAGTGCTGTGAAATAGTATTTGACCTGTTTTTTCTCTACTTTTGCATATTTTTTATGCTGTTATCAGATCTTCAACCAAAACCTAATATTAGATAAAGGTAACCTGAGTGAATAAATAACAACAATTCCATACTTATATCATTTATTTCATAAACAAAGTAAGTGAAAAATTAATTGCCCCCTTACACTTAATAACTGGATGTCCCACCTTTAGCTGCAATGACTCCAACCAAACGCTTCCTGTAGAGTTAAAGCAGTTCTGCATGGAAGAGTGGGCCAAAATTCCTCCACAGCAACGTGAGACTGATCAACAACTACAGGAAGCATTTGGTTGTTAATTAAATCAATAAGTAGATTTTCTGTTGTTGTTATTTGTAAACAGGTTCTCTTTATCTAATATTAGGTTTTGGTTGAAGATCTGATAACATTCAGTATAAAAAATATGCAAAAATAGAGAAATTCACAGCACTGTACCTAGGTAGGTGATGGCTAGTTGGCTAAGGCAGGGTTTCCCAAACTCAGTCCTGGGGCCCCCCCTGGGTGCACATTTTGTTAAGGTACCTAACGTCTCCTCCTGCCAACGCACCTACTGCACCTCACAGCCCGAGTGGCTCTACGCCTCCTGCGGACTGGGCGAGAGGTGGATCGTCTGGCCATGATTATTGTTACACCCACTGAGCGGCTAGACCCGCGCTTTTATAGGCATTGCCTGGGGACCAAAACTTATGTCATAATGGCACTGACATGATGCAATAGTGATCTATTTATTTTTAAATGTAAATAGTGTTCTGTTTCTTTGGCCAACCCAATAAACCCTGATAGAAAAAAAATTACTCAGGGCTTTATTAACTAGTACTAGTCATTACAAAATATAGCCTAGTTCCCTCAAACTCAACTCTGGACCTGGAAGCCAGTTCCACTGCTTTTTTCATTGTTCCCCTCTAATCAGGGACTGATCTAGACCTGGGACACCAGGTGGGAGCAATTAATGATCAAGTAGAACAGAAAACCAGCAGGCTATGGACCATAATTTCATTGAAATGACGTGGAAACAACGTTGATTCAACTAGTCTGTGTTCAGTGGGCAGAAGATGCAGATCAACCTCTCGCCCAGCCCGCAGGAGGCATAGAGCCACTTAAGCCATTAGGCGTAGGAGGAGCCGTTAGGTCCCTTACTTGCCATTAGCTCCCTGTTTAACCTAACATAGCTAAGTGCCCTTTGGGCTGCAAAGCTCACTGGGCAAAAGTCTAAATTTGAAGACATTCTCTTTTCATTATTAAACGGTTAAAAGTAAATTTCAAAAGGTTCAACTTCATATTCATTATCTCCAGCACCACCCCAACATCAACATACAGTACCAGTCAAAAGCTTGGACACCAGGGTTTTTCTTTATTTGTACTATTTTCTACATTGTAGAATAATAGTGAAGATCAAAACTATGAGATAACACATATGGAATCATGTAGTAACTAAAAAAGTGTTATTTTTATTTGAGATTCTTCAAAGTAGCCACCCTTTGCCTTGATGACAGCTTTGCACACTCTTGGCATTCTCTCAACCAGCTTCATGAGGTAGTCACTTGTAATGCATTTCAATTAACAGGTGTGCCATGTTAAAAGTTAATTTGTGGAATTTCTTTCCTTCTTAATGCGTTTGAGCCAATCATTTTTGTTGTGACAAGGTAGGGGTGGTATACAGAAGATAGCCCTATTTGGTAATAGACCAAGTCCATATTATGGCAAGAACAGCTCAAATAAGCAAAGAGAAACGACAGCCCATCATTACTTTAAGACATGAAGGTCAGTCAATACGGAACATTTCCGACAAACCATCAAACAGGCAAAGAGTCAATACCGGACTAAGATTGAATCGTACTACCCCGGCTCTGACATTCGTCGGATGTGGCAGGGCTTGAAAACTATTACAGACTACAAAAGGAAGCACAGCCGCAAGCTGCCCAGTGACACAAGACTACCAGACGAGCTAAATCACTTGTATGCTCGCTTCGAGGCATGCAACACTGAAGCATGCATGAGAGCACCAGCTGTTCCGGATGACTATGTGATCACGCTCTCCGTAGCCGATGTAAGTAAGACTTTTAAGCAGGTCAACATTCACAAGGCCGCTGGGCTAGACGGATTACCAGGACGTGTACTCAGAGCATGTGCTGACCAACTGGCAAGTGTTTTCACTGACATTTTCAACATGTCCCTGACTGAGTCTGTAATACCATCATGTTTCAAGCAGACCACCATAGTCCCTGTGCCAAAGGACACTAAGATAACGTGCCTAAATGACTACCGACCCGTAGCACTCACGTCTGTAGCCATGAAGTGCTTTGAAAGGCTGGTCATGGCTCACATCAACACCATTATCCCAGAAACCCTAGACCCACTCTAATTTGCATACCACCACAACAGATCCACAGATGATGCAATCTCTATTCCACTCCACACTGCCCTTTCCCACCTGGACAAGAGGAACACCTACGTGAGAATGCTGTTCATTGACTACAGCTCAGCGTTCAACACCATAGTGCCCTCAAAGCTCATCACTAAGCTAAGGGTCCTGGGACTAAACACCTCCCTCTGCAACTGGATCCTGGACTTCCTGATGGGCTGCCCCCAGGTGGTAAGGGTAGGTAACAACACATCTGCTACGCTGATCCTCAACACGGGGGCCCCTCAGGGGTGCGTGCTCAGTCCCCTCCTGTACTCCCTGTTCACCCATGACTGCATGGCCAGGCACGACTCCAACACCATCATTAAAAGTTTGCTGACGACACAACAGTGGTAGGCCTGATCACCGACAATGATGAGACAGCCTATAGGGAGGAGGTCCGAGACCTGGCCGTGTGGTGCCAGGATAACAACCTCTCCCTCAACGTGATCAAGACAAAGGAGATGATTGTGGACTACAGGAAAAAAAAGAGGACTGAGCACGCCCCCATTCTCATCGTCGGGGCTGTAGTGGAACAGGTTGAGAGCTTCAAGTTCCTTGGTGTGCATATCACCAACAAACTATCATGGTCCAAACACACCAAGACAGTCGTGAAGAGGGCACGACAAAGCCTATGCCCCCTCAGGAGACTGAAAAGATTTGGCATGGGTCCTCAGATCCTCAAAAAGTTATACAGCTGCACCATCGAGAGCATCCTGACTAGTTGCATCACCGCCTGGTATGGCAACTGCTCGGCCTCCGACCGCAAGGCACTACAGAGGGTAGTGCGTACAGCCCAGTACATCACTGGGGCCAAGCTTCCTGCCATCCAGGACCTCTATACCAGGTGGTGTCAGAGGAAGGCCCTCAAAATTGTCAAAGACTCCAGTCACCCTAGTCATAGACTGTTCTATAATAATAATAATAATAATAATACGCTATTTAGCAGACGCTTTTATCCAAAGCGACTTACAGTCATGCGTGCGTACATCTTTATGTATGGGTGGTCCCGGGGATCGAACCCACTACCCTGGCCTTACAAGCGCCGTGCTCTACCAATTGAGCTACAGAGGGTTCTCTCTGCTACCGCACGGCAAGCGGTACCAGAGCGCCAAGTCTAGGTCCAAAAGGCTTCTCAACAGCTTCTACCCCCAAGCCATAAGACTCCTGAAGAGCTAATCATTGCTACCCGGACTATTTGCCCTGTGTAGCTCAGTTGGTAGAGCATGGCGCTTGCAACGCCAGGGTTGTGGGTTCGTTTCCCACGGGGGGCCAGTATGGGAAGAAAAAAATGTATGCAGTCACTAACTGTAAGTCGCTATGGATAAGTGACTAAAATGTAAAAAATGTATTTGCACTGCCCCCCCACCCCCATCTTTTACGCTGCTGCTACTCTGTTTATTATTTATGCATAGTCACTTTAACTCTACCCACATGTACATATTACCTCAATTACCTCGACTAGCCGGTGCCCCCGCACATTGACTCTGCACCGGTACCCCCCTGTATATAGCCTCCCTACTGTTATTTTATTTAATTTTACTGCTGCTCTTTAGTTATTTGCTTTTATTTTTTTTACTTAACACTTTAAAAAATGTCATTGTTGGTTAAGGGCTTGTAAGTAAGCATTTCACTGTAATGTCTACACCTGTTGTATTCGGCGCATGTGGCAAATAAAATTTGATTTGATTTGATTTGTACGGGCTATTTGACCAAGGAGCGTGATGGAGTGCTGCATCAGATGACCTGGCCTCCACAATCCCCCGACCTCAACCCAATTGAGATGGTTTGGGATGAGTTGGACCGTAGAGTGAAGGAAAAGCAGCCAACAAGTGCTCAGCATATATGGGAACTCCTTCAAGACTGTTGGAAAAGCATTCCTCATGAAGCTGGTTGAGTGAATGCCAAGAGTGTGCAAAGCTGTCATCAAGGCAAAGGGTGGCTACTTTGAAGAATCTCAAATATAAAATATATTTTGATTTGTTTAACACCTTTTTCGTTACTACATGATTCCATATGTGTTATTCCATAGTTTTGATGTCTTCACTATTATTCTACAATGTAGAAAATAGTAAAAATAAAGAAAAACCCTTGAATGAGTAGGTGTGTCCTTTTGACTGGTACTGTATGTAAAAATTGTGGGTTTCTATGTTTTGTAGTAAAAGGAAGATTAGCGTTTCCAATGACATCAACCAATTAGTAGACAATTAGTAGGCAATGCCTACTCATAATTGGTTAAGTTTACAAGATGCACACCGATGATGTCTATCTTTTTTACTACAAAACATAGAAACGTGCAATTTTCACACATGTTGATGTTGCGGTGGTGCTGGAGATGGTGAATATGAAGCAAAAATATTGGGAAATTTCCCTTTAAGAATTCGTTTAACTTTTAGGCAGTTGTTGGTTAACTAGGGGGTAGGCTAATCAATTTGAGAATATAGCTGTAGACTTAGACTACTCATTGACAGACAAGTCAATAACAACCAGGAGCAACGTTTTTGTATTATAACATTAAAACATAGAGTGCTCTCAGGCTACCAAACACAGTAAGACAAATGTGAAAGTACATTTAATGTAGCACTCCTACATTACATTTACTTTTAAATGTGTCTTATTGTGGAACTTTTGACTAGGTAAGCCACTACATTTAAATTCCATTTAGATAAATTGTAATTATAATATTAGCAAATACTTATAAACAGTTAATAATGCGATGTTTGCTAAATTGTAGGCTACTGTGAACAACATCATGTACAGCATCCGATGCGCCCTGTTGACACACTGTCCGCTGTGGTATTACATTGTCGCCTACAACATTATTACATTGTAGGGATGGGCTGCTATGCCAACAGCAACATTGCAACAAGAGGTAGACCTACGATTATTACGTATCAAACTCTGTGAGCAAGACAATTGGCTGCAGTGCACTAGACCAGAAGACATTTGTGCAGCAGTCTTTCTTGAATAATTTACTTACCAGCCTCCGACGAGCATTTGTGTGGACTCCTGCTTCACTGTCCATTATTGGTGGAAAGGCTTCAGTCAGCAACGCTCGGTTTATCATTGTCGATAAAAGTCGTCTCATTGTGACAAATTTCAACAGCGTTTTGAAAAATGGTGACACACAATACCAAAGTTTACCAGCAACAGTGACGTTTCTCATGACTGCAGAAGAGCCAATGTCATAAACACTTTAATCTTGTTGTGTCAATATGCTACTGTCTGTGACCATCAATATCTCGGATTCAATAATGTACTCCTGACATTTCACTTAATTTATAAACAAACCTATTTTAAATGTTTATAGCGTTGACATTTCGAATTTATCAATACAATTGTGAACACAAAAGAAGAAACGTTGGAAAAGAGTAGTTCTGTTACTGAACTAGACCTGCCATGCAACTTCAAACATTAGTCAAAGAGATTGGTGGCCAGAGAAGTGAGAGAGCTCATTGTGACCAACGTCTGGTATTTTTAATCGTACCGCCACCTAGCTAGGAGGTTTATAAATGCACTTATACATGCCTACACACTCATAGCAAACGCACAGTGTAATATAGTGATGTTTTACCTTTCAGCCTTGTGTAACTTTGTGCTGAAATGATATTTCACTTATAGGCCATTAAAACAAATTATGATGATGATGATACGACTATATGTGCATGTAGCCTACAGGAGTACATGAGGTAAATCAAGAAAAGTTACACAAAATGTTGCACCAAGATCATATTTTTTGTCTGGAAAATAGTTACACTGGGAAAAAATGCTTTTCTTGATCACAAAACTAAATTGACTGGCTCTTTTATCTGAATATGGAGTTATATCAGTTTATTGATGAAAAGGTATTGTGACACAAGGGTTATAATTTGTTCACGTTGTGTCTGGAGGGATATACCACGGGCACATTGGAGTTTAAAGTTCTCACATCTAGAGTTCTTCTGTCTCAGTAGTCTGTCTCAATGGGGTAGCAGGGTATGGCATCAGGGACAGGCTGGCATCTCTCCACCACAGCATTGATCTCCCCCACCCTCACACCATCATAAGTGCCTATGATGGTGGTCCAGTGGGTGTCTCCGTTATGGTAGGTCCGGCTCAGCCTACCCGTGAAGGGGATGTCGGCGGTCATCTTCCTGCCCTCCATCCGCACGGCACAGGAGTGGTTGGGAGGGACCAGCAGCTCCACAGAGATGGAGTGGCTGATAGACTCCACCATGGTGGTTCCCTCTGAGAAGCTCACCGTCTGCTCCTTGGTGAAGTCCACGGTGCCTGGGCTGATAATGGGCACCTTGGCCGTCATGGTGGTGGAGCTGTTGCGGCTCTCCCTGCCAATGTCCCAGGTCTTCTCCACAGTGCTGGTCTTCTCCAGCAAGACCTTCTTCTCCACACTGCTGCACTCCAGGTTGGTGACCCTGACAAACTGCATGGTCTCAGGAGGGTGGTTGAACAGCTCGATCTGGTCGATGGCATACTCCACGTGAGAGATGTGCTGGCTGTAGGCGTCCCTGTTGATGGCCAGGACCTGGTACCTCTTGTACCAGTACTCATCGCCCTCCCAAGGCAAGAAGAAGGCTTTATGTTGGGTCACAACCTTTCCCAGACCGTATTTGTTCTTGCCGACGTATATCTCAACGCCTTGGCAGGTCTTGACAGAATGTTGGGGGACAGCACCATATTCCTCCTCGATCCACTCCACAAACTCAAAGTTGTCCACATTGACCAGGACTTCGAACTTGGAGGATGAATGCTCCTTGTCAGCATAGGGGTACTGGCAGAAACTGCCTTTGCTTGCGGTGTAGAAGCCGGCTTCGCAGTTGACTTTGCAGATGTAGTCATGTCGTTCGGTGTAACTGTTGTAGATGCCCACAGCACCATTAGGGAGGGACTGTTCCCATTTTACCCATTTAAGGTTGGCGTTCTCCCCATACATAAACAGGGAGTCTGGGAACTGGGGCTCTAGATCTGAGGTCTCTGTCAGTGTGGATGGACTGTGGATGTCCAGATCAGGGACCACATCTTCCAGCAGAGGGTTGAGCCAGGGCTCTGTGATGGAGTACAGAAAGCAAAGGTCATAGGTTGCAATGGAGTATCTTTTGTGGAGTTGAAATCTAACCTCTTTGGCTTCATTCACTCATTATGAGTTAGTTAAGAAGAATATTACGAGCAACAATTTTAGTACTCATCACTGCATTCTCTACCAGAAAGTTGGTTGGCCCTCTTTGATGTCACGCAGGTTGATACATTTCTATGTTTTCATTTATAAAGCCTTTTTACAAAAAGTCCTACTGTACCTAACATCTTTACTAAACGTTAGACATACGAGTTACCACACCGGGTCTCAGGGATGGTTAACTCTGGAAATTCCTTTGGTCTCTACTGAGTTAGGTAAATCAGCTTTTAGTTTTCTTGCACCTTATTTGTGGAACAATCTTCAACATTTTCTTAAATTTTATGTTTTGGTGCCTCTAGGGCAATTCAGAAAGCTGATTGAGGACCTTATTACTGATGAATGTGTGTTTTTTTATGACAATGTTGTTCTTTCTGCTTGCATTTTGTATTTATATTGATGCATGTATTTTCTGTCATTTCTGTAATTCAGGGTTCAGCTGTAAAAGAGACCTTGGTCTCATTATGACTCCCTGATAAAATAAAGGTTAAATAAATAAAATAAATACAATTATTTAGTTTGGTAGAGAATATTCAGACAACATTTTTACACTATGAGACCCAGTTGAAGGTTTTTGATCAACGTGTTTGTGTAATAGGCTGTAATACAGGGGAGGCTGGTAGGAGGCGCTATAGGAGGACGAGCTCATTGTAATGTCTGGAATGGAATAGCTCCTCCCACCAGCCTCCTCTGGTGTAATATAATCAGACTCACTGCTAGGGTGCATCCTGCCCCTCCTCCAGCTGAGAGGTGTAGAGCAGGGGGTCTGAGAGGAAGACTGGCCTGCAGAGTTGCAGCACTCCCAGGACGACCAGGAAAGTCAGCCTCATCTAGGAACACACAAACACACACACACACACACACACACACACACATCAGCTTACCTATCTGAACTGACATTAGCAGAGTGCTACACTGTGCATTTTTTAGATTCACCACCTTCAATCTGGAAAATGGTCAGTGTTCCTTGTTGCTGGCATAACCACATAGATACCCATGCGTTCCCCATCTACAGTATTTCAGACACTTCCTTGCATATCAAATCAAATCAAATCAAATTGTATTGGTCACATGTGCCGAATACAACAGGTGCAGACATCACAGTGAAATGGTTACTTACAGCCCTTAACCAACAGTGCATTTATTTTTTACAAAAAAAGTAAAAATAAAACAACAACAAAAAAAGTGTTGAGAGAAAAAAGAGCAGAAGTAAAATAAAGTGACAGTAGGGAGGCTATATATGCAGGGGGGTACCGTTGCAGAGTCAATGTGCGGGGGCACCGGCTAGTTGAGGTAGTTGAAGTAATATGTACATGTGGGTAGAGTTAAAGTGACTATGCATAAATAATTAACAGAGTAGCAGCAGCGTAAAAAGGATGGGGTGGGGGGGGCAGTGCAAATAGTCCGGGTAGCCATGATTAGCTGTTCAGGAGTCTTATGGCTTGGGGGTAGAAGCTGTTGAGAAGTCTTTTGGACCTAGACTTGGCACTCCGGTACCGCTTGCCGTGCGGTAGCAGAGAGAACAGTCTATGACTAGGGTGGCTGGAGACTAGGGTGGCTGGAGTATTGCTGATGGACTGAATACATTAAGATGACCATTTGTAGGGCTTGCCTATCATTTACTAAAGAGTTCTGAAATCACAAAAAAACTGCCTCTCCAGCTTAGTAAAAAATCTAACATTCGAAATGAGATGGATTGTTTTATGTTCCATGAATCAGATGCACAATACAGTAAATCATGATATTAGTATTCAGCACAGAGCTAACAGTAATATAACATTTTATACACATAGGTTGATGTAAAGAAGCTGTTTTACCTTGACAGGTTCCACCTCCAGTGGCGTGATCTGCAGCCCCTGCAGCGTTTTAAACCTTCCTGCAGGATAATTGCCCCCAATAAAGCAGCCAGCGCTACAGTGAGTGGCCCCATGCCCATTGGCCTAGTACTCTTACTGAATAAGAGTCCCCTGCTGCTGCTTCCTCCCCATTACTTTTGGTGTACAGTGCTTATTGTTTTAGTGATTAAAAAAGTAAAGTGAAGGACACTGCACTAAACAGATACAACTAGAGAAAAAAACATTCAAGAGGGAGCTGGTCAACACCTTGCCACAGAGGACAAGGGGCAGCTACACAAGGAGAGACAACACCAGGAAGGCCCAACCACCACTCACCCCTGTCCACACTGCACCAAAATATGTGTCTCCCGGATCGGCCTCTACAGCCATCTGAATACCCACAAATAGAAGACCCCATTGAGGACAATCATACTCAACTCGAGTGATTGCCGATGATGATAATTTGACCATGTAGTTTTGGTGCTCTTGCAGTGGTTGTGTAAGTAATGCACTGGGCTCAGTGTGTTCATTTACATAATCATAGGTTGAGATGATACCTTTCTACCCCATTACAGCAGTAAATATGAGCTTTTATATCACTGGACATGATCTACCTGGAATCACGTACAATGTCAAAGAACAAAAACTCATTGCATAAGAAAGGCTTTGGTATTGTGATGCAAGTGAGGTTGTTCTTGGTAAGCAAAGACAAAGAACAATGTGGTAATATCCTTTAGAGTCCCCCGTTATCGATTATTTCAGAGACTGTCACCATTATCACAATAACTATTAACTCGCAGCAACACAGAGATAATATTGTTGTCCCTGTCAGGATGAAGGCCAAAAACATGGAATTGTTCTGACTGACAAAATCTACTGATGATCACAAGTGTCAAGGCCATCTCTATGTCCTTGAACAGATAGCTATTATCAATTCCTTTATCATGGTAGATTGAAAAGACTCAATGTTCCTCTGCAGATAATGAAATAGGACAGACAGTGTAAAGGTCTTTACACTGATAGAATCTGTCTTTGATCATTCATTATCACCCCACTTGTTGACCCATTTAACTGTATATCAATTACACATGAATTGCTCTTCTGGGACAATAAAGATCTATTGAATTAAATCATGCTATTATGCTCACAACTAAATTGTGCTTCCTAATCAAATGAAGGAAAGGCCATGTTTGTGCTGTGTCTGTGTATCAGTTGACAGGACAGGAGCCAACTTTTGAGGAAAGGTAAGGTCACTGAGTTAAGGCTGTCTGATATTTCAGGACAGTCCGCTCTGTTCTAGAAGCTTTTTATCTCTGTTATCACTCTGTTTGCTTAATCAGGTTAATAATCCTCATCTTATCTTCAATGTATCTTCTGGTAAGAGGATGGGATGAATGAGATGACAGGGCAATTTTTCTTTCAAAGCTTCTACAAAAAGACTGTAAAGTATCTGAACTATGTCCAACGTGCATTATTTTGTCATAGTGTGATGCTGACTGTCAAGGACGAGAGAGTCAGAGAGACAAAGGGAGAGAGACAGAGAGAGAGAGACACAGAGAGAGAACGAATACAAGAGAGAGAAAGACTGGCTTACATTTCAGATGATTATAATAATGAAACAATAATAAGAATGTAAAGAAGTGTAAGTGACATCTTATCCACATTCCTCCTCTTTCTTCTACCATGCCAGTCCATGACAGCTCTGAGAGCGTTAGAGTGTTGTAATATAAGAGTGTCATAAAGGAGCTATATAAGCCCGGAGAACCAACAGGTTCACTGCTCACGAGGGGAACACTGTAAGGGTGCGTGCATTGGCTCATCTATGTGTGCATTTAGGGCACTATTTCAGAATCTGAAATTATACAGTATGTTGCTGTTCAATGGAGCCTACATCAAAACTGGCAGAAACAATGAGGAACTGGGGCTTGACTGCAATGTCATGTTGATTTAATGTGAATTTGTGTAACACTATAGTTATAACTATAGTCCGGGACATAGTGAGGAAGAGCTCCCTGAGAAGGAAGGGTAAATTAAAATACATTTGTATACTTCTCTAATTTGATATACTCCTTTTATTCAGTCAATCCCTGCCTTTGACCTCTTAGAAAGGAGAACAGAAAACATTCAAAAGGTCATTCAATGTCAGTTGTTTCATCACAACAACCTGGGGCGGCAGGTAGCTTAGTGGTTAAGAGCGTTGTGCCAGTAACCGGAAGGTCGCTGGTTCTAATCCCCCGAGCCGACTAGGTGAAAAATCTGTGGATGTGCCCTTGAGCAAGGCACTTAACCCTAATTGCTCCTGTAAGTCGCTCTGGATAAGAGCATCTGCTAAAAGAATTTAAATGTAAAAAAACAAGAATAGGTGCATATTGAGACACTGTATTATTCTGTCTTCTAGTGTCCCTCTTGAACCCAGTACTGGAAGGTAGGGTCCCCCCACTGGACAGTATAGGTCCAGTCCAGGGCCCACTGACCCCTCCTGAGTTTGAGGACGAACAGAAGTCTGCTCCATTCATGTTCGGGGACAATGTCAACCTGCAGTGGCTGAGCTGGAATGGTTCTCTCCCCACTGCAGCTGAGGGCATCTACAACGGCTACACAGAATGCACAGACTATATCTGCAAATACAACTGCGAAGCCGGCTTCTACACTCCTATCAAGGGGCCTTACTGCCAATACCCATACGGTGACAGAAAGTACTACACCCCAGAGTTCGAAATCCTGACCAACAGTGACAACTTTGAGTTTGTGGAGTGGAAAGAGGACTCGCTCGGTGCCCAAAGACTCAGTCAGAACGTGCTCCGGAGTGGACATCTACGTGGGGAAGAACAAGTACGGCTTGGGGAAGGTGGTCCCTCAGTTCAAGGCCTTCTTCCTGCCCTGGGAGGGTGATGAGTACTGGTACAAGAGCTACCAGGTCCTGACCATCAACAGGGACGACTACAGCCAGCACATCTCCCACGTCAAGTACGGCATCGATGAGGTGGAAATATTCCACTACCCCCCCGAGACCATGCGCCTCTCCAGTGTCACCAACAACGAGTGCCAAACTGTTGTGAAGACAGTGACCATCTCCAAAATGTCAGAGGTGGAGAGCACCTGGAACATCAGACATACCACTATGCTGGGCATCACCGCCGGCATCACAGCCAAGATCCCCCTGATTAGCTCCGGAGGGGTGGAGTTCAGTGGGGAGAAGACCCTACAGTTCAACAGCGGCACCACCATGGTGGAGGCCCTCAGCCACTCTGTCTGTGGAGCTCAAGGAGCCACCCAACCACTCCTGTACCGTGCTCATGGAGGGCCGCAAGATCACTGCAGACATCCCCTTCACAGCCAGGCTGAGCCATACATACGGCAACGGAGAGACCCAGTGGACCTCTATCTCTGGGGTGTACGATGGGGTTCAGATCGGAGAGATCCAGGCCATGGTGGACCGCTGTGAGCCTGTCGTAGACGCCAAGCCTAATATCATCCAAACTAACTCTAAATTTAAATCTACATACATCTACACTCATAAGTATACAGTCAAGGATAGCCAATCAATAATCCAGTACCCCTAGGTCAGGGTTCTTCAATTCCGGTCCGGAGGGCGAAACACCCTGTTTTTCATCCTATCCTCAATCAGGGCTAATCAGACTGGGACACCAGGTAGTGCAATAACTACCAGTGTAGAAATAAAAACATGAAGGTGTTTCGGCCCTCCAGGAACCGGAATTGAAGAACCATGCCTAGGTTATACCAACACTGATTAATGTGACACAAATAGCACATTTTACACAAGTATGTGGTACATTTTCACAACTCTAAGAACAAAAATCTAAATAAATCATCAAAATGGCTTGTTCCAAAACTAAGCACATTTTCAATTGACTGAGTACAACCAACAAATTCACACTTGTTCACTGCACCAAATCACTCATTCGATTTGGATACATATTCAATCTAAGTATCAGCTTTTCAAAATGCAATGTTCACTTTACTTTTGATATGATTTTCTTGTCATTTGTTAACAACACAATCAACTATCACTTAATCAAACTGCTCAAAACTGATAACTACTGAACCAAAATTATGTAGTGCCTAGTTAACATATATAGTTAGATAACTGCTGAACACTGTACATTTCTATATTTGCACCTCATAAATGTATTAATTTGACATCAATTTATGTTGGAAGGTAAAAACAATCATATATGGATGTGGCTGTAAATACTACATCATTCTCCATCAGCCAGTGTGCTTCTATAGGACAAAGTGGAAATAGTATTTGTGCTTTGTGCTACTATTTGGCATTATAGTGTCCAATGCACTGCTGAAATACATGGGTTGTATATAACAATATATTCCACTCATCTGAATTTCATTGATACACTGTAAGCAGATGAATTTCAAGCAGAAAGACAATAGATACTGTATCAGTTGACAAGTCACTTAAAAAAAGGTGATCTTGCACAATGTTGCATGGGCAGAAATGGCATACTTTATCGTGCTACGTTTTTACAGTAGCCAACTGCTCTACAATACTCCTATTTCTGATGATTTGTCCTAAGTGTGTACTATATGAGGATTATGAAACTGTAAGACTGACATACAGTATTTCTCAACATGCTCACAATCTGCCATTGGCTAGAAATTATATAAAATAAATTGCCAAGTTATAGTCAAATACTGTATGGAAAATTATATTACCATCTATTATTCTTTCTATTCAGCACTTCAAAAAGAACAGTTTTGAAATGTGTATCTTGTATTTTTTGCTATTGGATTAAATGGTGAATGAATGAATAACATATGAATAAACGTTTTTTGCACAATCAAATTTTCTGAACATAAGATAGGGGGCATTACAAGTGTTATCAGTTTAGAGTTTTGTAATTAGAGTTTAGAAAATATACCACATCTGAAAAATGTGCCAAAGTGATTGAAAAAAAACGCATTTGGAAAGTGTCTCATAACAGATCAAAATTTTGCCTCCATTGCCATTACTATAATAGAACAGTAGGGGGCAGCAACAGATAATGGCGTTCAGAGAACAGGAGTAGACCTGTGTGTGTGTGTGTGTGTGTGTGTGTGTGTGTGTGTGTGTGTGTGTGTGTGTGTGTGTGTGTGTGTGTGTGTGTGCGTGCGTGCTTGGAAGTGTATGTGTGTGTGTATGTGTGTGTGTGTGTGTGTGTGTGTGTGTGTGTGTATGTGGGCATGTGCGTGCGTGCGCATGCGTGTGTGCGTGTGTGCTTGAAAGTGTGTGTGTGTGTGCATGTGCTTGTGTGTGTGTGTGTGTGTGTGCGTGTGCTTGGAAGTGTGTGTGTGTGCATCCTCTCCAAAGAGACCTGACTGTCTTCGCTTGTTCTATTACAGTATCAATAAGCAGTTACTGCTTACTGCGACCCCATGCTGTGTCTGAGAAGAGAGGTGGATCAGGGTTCTACATGAAAGCTGTGTATTCAGCTGCCCCCATCCCAGTGTTGCTATTGACAGTTATTGACGGCTATCTTTCTTAGAGATGGTCTGTACAGTAGAGAGGACTGTGATGTCATTAATGTGGCGGCCAGTCTCTCAGTATAAAACCTCTAATCTAGAGTAGGGGACCTGCTGCCTCCTCCCTCCACTGTGACTGCACTTACCAGTGAGATAAATAAAATATGTCCCATGCCCTCTGTTCTCCCTCTCTCTCTCATGGCTGAGATGAGATGCTCCAGTAATTCTCCCTCATGTGGAATAATGGCCAAGGTGTGCTCTGTATCACTCTGTATCCTCTCCCCTCATCGATTGTGTCGGGGGGGCTGGGGCTGGTCTATGCAGCCGTTGGAATGGGAATGATGCTGTGAATCGGATGTGAGCTGCTTGTATGATATAACGCTACCACAGTAACTCAGAACTATAGATTTGAGATGATTCCTGATAATAGGACACTCTCAATCCTTTTGAAATGGATACTTCTAGTATTTTCTAGAATAAAAAGATCAGAATGTAAATTAGAGAATTTCTCAAAGAACTCAGTTGTTTTGGAATTGACTCCAGTCTTGCTCTAACACTCTTTATGTTTTCTATGTGAATCTCTGTCCATCAACTAGTAGTGTGGTCTGATAGGCCAGATAAGGCTCCAATATGGGTGAGTGAACACTTCCAGCTGGATGACCATATACTTGTGTGCAGGGTGGCAGGGACAAGGCACAGGGCTTCTTCAGACTTCTTCATTACTTCATAACTTATAAATCCATGTTAGTTTTAATGAGACTTCTTCATTACTGTATAATTTATAAAGCCATGCTAATTTTAATGAGACTTCTTCATTACTGTATAACTTATAAAGCCCTGCTAGTTTTCATGAGACTTCTTCATTACTGTATAACTTATAAAGGAATGTTAGTTTTAATGAGACTTCTTCATTACTGTATAACTTATAAAGCCATGCTAGTTTTAATGAGACTTCTTCATTACTGTATAACTTATAAAGCCATGCTAGTTTTAATGAAACCCTAACAGTAGCTCTGAATGATCCAAGTGCCCATGGATTTCACTTAGCTTGAAGATGGTCCCCATTCTCACTCCATTACTGTTACAGGAGGGGGTCACAGTTCCGGAGCGACCCACTAGGTGTCATCCTCCGACAATCTAAAGCACCTCCTCACTCACAGTCTGGACTAATCATTATCCTATTGGTGTCACCTGTGTATTTATGCCCTCACTTCCCTGTGTTCCCTTGCTCTGTTTTCTCTGCTAGTTTTTGATGCCAAACAGTACTAATCAGTGTCTGATCACGAGACGTATGTACAGGTACTTGAGAAGTTTTCTCCCTGTTTCATTGTTGTTTTCAGTCGTAGATTTCATATGTTTGCTGTCAGCCTGTTTTTGGAGACCAATTTGCTCCTCCTTTATTATAAGTCTGTTATTTTGTATCCTGGTTTTGGGACCACCAGTAAAGATCCTTGTTTCACCATCTCTGCCTACTGCCTACTGTCTATCCTGCACCGCACCTGGGTCACACTTCACACCAACCCTTACACAGTACTGCAAGAATGAAGGGGGTGTGTGTGTGTGTGTACCTGTGTACCTGTGTGTGTGTGTGTGTGTATGTGTGTGTGTGTCTTGATTGACTGTGTAGTCAGTAAGGATCACAGTTGTGTAACCAGAAAGCAAACTGCACACACTCAACACCACCCTCTGTGTCCCACTCAAAGTATGTGAGCAGAGTTGAGCGGTTGGAAATCCCTCTCATGGCTCACGGAGCAGTGCTCCAGTTTGCTCCATTCATTAAAATCACAATTTAACCAACACCCATCTATTTTTGTGACTACCTGGACCTACCAATTGGTTTTTAAGTATTGAAACCAAACCATATTGATTTGTATAAAAAGCATTTGAATAAACATGAAAAGGTGAATGTAAGAAGCGAACATCATTTCAAATAGGCTAAATGCAGTGGTGATTTTAGCATGTAAATCTTGGTGGGGCAAAAAAGAAACAATGGGATGCATGCCAGCAAAGCCACTACACAACACAACACTAAACAATACATTAATTGCACTATAACGGTGACAAATGGTGCCCACAAACTGTAAGGGCCTATAAAAAGCTGTCCCAACAGCAGTCCCAACATCTTACCACTGCTACACCTGGCTATCAGCGAAGCCTTGTCTGGCAGCGAAACAGTTCATTCAGCCTCATTTACTGCCTTTAAAAAAAACATAGCTGATATGGCTGACTTGCTTAAACAAATGTGGTTTCTAATGACAATGAGATGTACAAACTATGGCATAAGGGGACGACAAGCGGATAAGAGGCAATCCGTAATTTCGATTAAGACATTAATGAGCGAGCTAGGATGGACGTAGTCAATATAACTATTTGTTTGGCACTTTTGAAATGTACAGCGACAGAATTCAGAACATGGGCCGTTCTTACAGTGTTCTCCCTGTACACCAAGTCAGAACCGTAGGATAAATAAAGGGGGCATATAAGCAGACAATGAAAGCTCTTACAATATTCGATGATTACATTTCTCTAAAACAGGTTATAGGCTACATGTGCACAACCAAGTCAGAACAGTAGGCGAAATTAAGAGGGGTAAATATACCAAATTATTAGGGTGAGGCACATGGGCTACTAACATCTTACTGCACAACATACACTTAGTATTACTTTCTTAGCTACAGTATACATATCTCCCTGACATATTACATTATTTATGCAGCAGCATACAATACATTTTTGGACTCACCTTGTTGTGCTGTGCTCACTTGAATAGGAAGGTGGCGCGGCGGTCCTTCGTTGGCAAAGTTTGTCATCAAAGAAAGAGAAAGAGTTTCGAGTTGGATGACACAATTCCGAGTTGGATGACCGTTCAAAACGTATTTTGCCAGTCGGAGATCGTTTATTCCCGACTTCCCAGTTGTCTTGAACTCACTGAAGTCAAGTTTCCGCAGTTCAGAGTTAACAGTTGTTTTGAGCGCGGCACAAATCATGCTTCATTGACAGCATGGCCAATGTTGAATGTTTATTATTTTAACTGTGGAAAAGAGTCCCTTAGTCCCAGATTAGGGACCACACAGCCACTCCACGGAATAGCAGGCTAGTGATTGCTTTGCAATGCTTGCAGTTAGCCACTGTCACCGATTCCTTCCAAACCACTCATTGTTGAATTTGCGATTTCCAACTTGTTGTGTAATGTTTATGTCCAATGACCGATGAGCACCAATATGTTTTATCTATAATTTATCTTCATTATTTCTCTTCATATGACAAGGATTAAAAAGGATTTGCCAGTAGATTGTCGACTTGATTCATGATGATGACTGCTAGCTAAGATTTTGAAAGTATGATGTTGACATGATCAGTCCAATCAAAGCTACTGTAGATATAACGTGATTTTACATCATTTATCTGTGGCCAATGACCTTGAGCCTTCTTGGATGGGCACTTCTAATGTAACTCTATGGCAGCACGCAAGGGGCTTGAATTTTCAAGTTCTACCCTTAGACTTGGTAGTGACGTAGTGTCCCCATGAGTGACAGAACACTGAGCCAATCACATAGCAATGCTCTGTATTTTCTGCTGGCTTGCCCCACCACCACAGAAAGCACTGAGCTAGGCTGAAACACCTGCATTTTGGAGCTGCCTTACTCAAGAAAACAAAAAAGAGACCATGTTTGTATGCAGCTTTATTAACTCAATGATATTTATATACATACATATATATATATATATATATATATATATATATATCTTTTTACATTGTTTGCAAACTGATATGTGACAGGTATTAATGCCAAAATAACATGCAAAACAGGCAAGGCCATTTTTGCAAAAAATGTGGGGCTCAAAACGAAAAATGACTTATTAGTGCCTTTGAATTCATTTTTAGAAACACCAGTTTGGCCAGTCTGTGGCTTCAGGCTCATGCGATGATGCCTGGAGAGCCGGCCAGCGGAGAATATCCTCTCCACACTTGCAGAGCCACTTGGGATGCTAAACAACCCTTCTCTTGCCAGGCTGGGCAGAGATGCAGAGTTGTTTTTTTATTTTTCTATACGTAGGCCTAAAGGTTTTTAGGCAAAATAACCCAATCAAAACGGAAAGCTCCTTGAAAGTGTGAATATGGCCTATTGGGCCAAAATCAATTATGGCCATTGTATAGATAATAGAACGAAAATGAACGAAACTTTAAGAGATCAGATTTTTAGTTTATACATACTTTGCTACAATGACACACTTAGTTATCTACCCACCTTGTTCCTTTCTTTTAGCATGTGCATGTAGGCCATCATGCTTTTGGGATAAGTGTGTTTTCAGATTCCACAATGATTCTTTAGTTGTGGACACATCTTCACCACACTCCCTCTCTTGCTCTTGGTCCTCATCTTTGTAAGTCACCTTGATTTTTTATTATATTTTTTCACCTTGATTTAGCACCTGTGTTTTATCAGTTTCTTTATGAAAATATTTAGCGAACTGCATGACAGTAGCTAAAGCAAGGAGCTATAGCAGCACACAAGTCCTCTGGTCCCACTCAATACATAAACACACACAAACTCTCACACACACACACACACACCTGCGAACGAGCACACACACATACAGTGAGGGAAAAAAGTATTTGATCCCCTGCTGATGTTGTACGTTTGCCCATTGACAGAGAAATGATCAGTCTATAATTTTAATGGTAGGTTTATTTGAACAATGAGAGACAGAATAACAACAACAAAATCCAGAAAAACGCATGTCAAAAATGTTATAAATTGATTTGCATTTTAATGAGGGAAATAAGTATTTGACCCCTCTGCAAAACATGACTTAGTCCTAATGAATAAATGAATGGATGAATGAATTAAATGAATTGAGGGGATTGGAGTTGCAAGCAGGTTGGTTGGCTGCTAGGTGAAAACCCTTTTTGGGTTACTACATGATTCCATATGTGTTATTTCATAGTTTTGAGGTCTTCACTATTATTCTACAATGTAGAAAATAGTAAAAATAAGAAAAACCCTTGAATGAGTAGGTGTGTTCAAACTTTTGACTGGTACTGTATGTAGTGGTGATCGAGGCTGTGTACTATAGGCCAGGTGCTCTTAAGCTCTGTATCCTTTAATAGCCTTCCAGTTCCTCCTCTCCAAAGAAAGGTTACTCCTGGGATGCTTTCCCATGTGCTTCAATGGATACGGGCCTGAATTCTTTGAAAAAGCCTCCTCTCAAAGTGGGGTCGTAGAACAACTTGGAGGAGTGCACCATCAAACGTAAACATTTTGATTAATTATTTATCTCCTGTTGGTTCCTAGTTATGTGCTCTGAGTGGGTTTGGGGTATTTGTAATCAGTTGGGACATGGATGGTATAGTAGATTGACTAGAGTAATGTAGCTCGGCATGTAACTCATGGATTCAAAAGCTGTGTTTGTTCATCTGGCTGTTATGGTACATGTGTTCCAAAAGCATGCGTTTGGTCCATTTCTGAGTAGCTGCTCCAGCTTGTTTACAGTATGTCATCGATTATATAGTAACAAAACTACAAATCAACATGAACACTGTATTTAGTGCTGCTTTGTTAGTACGTATTCTTTAAGTAAGTTAGGGTCAAATGTCATCGTCCTGCTCGAAGTTAAGTTCTCCAGGGGCATTCAGGGTGAAGTCAGAGACAGTGCACTTGCAGTGTTGAATTTACTCCAGTCAGTGACTTGAAACCATTGACCCAAAACAGAAAACCATGTTGAGTGGTCCTGAAGATGTAGACCTAGAATATTACTGGAAACAAACGAAAATAATGAAGGAAAAAAGCACCCCACACTTAACCCCAAAGACAGGCAGAAGACAGGTTCTTACTTTGTTTTGTCTAAACGTAAGGGTGTTTTTCTAATATTCAAGAGCTGAGAGATGTTTGAATGAATCCAGACTCTGTATCCTCATAACCAGACCCATTGGTGACGCATGGAGGGGGCGCTAAGTGGTAGCCTCCCGTGCATTCTGACATCAGAGGCAGTAACTCGAGGCTAACTCTATATATTTTATAAACATTGGGGTTTGGAGTTTTGGGGGCAGCTATGAGGTTTGGTAGAGAGCCGCGACTAAGGCTAATGCACTGGATCCCTCTAACATCACATTTCCTCGCCCGCAGCACTTTTGGTGAATTCAACTAAAGCCTTATACACCCACAGTACTGAAACCTTCACACTAAAGTCACTGTCTAGCCAGGAGCCTGACCTTTAATGGACTAACACCTATCCCCCTGAAGTTAACAAAAAGATAAAGATATCCAAGAACTTCCAACAGGTCAGTGTTGGTCACTGAACTTCTCATATTGAACTTTCTACAGCACTAGTTGACATCTGTATGGATTCAGTCAATCAGGAAAATGTACATAACAAACATACAATTGGTGGCAGGTATACTAGCGCTTAAATGCGTTGGGCCAGTAACCGAAAGGTCGCTGGTTTGAATCTCTGAGCCGACTAGCTGAAAAATCTGTCAATGTGCTCTTGAGCAAGGCACTCCTGGAAGTTGGTCTGGATAAAAGTGTCTACTAAATGACTAAAATGTAATGCAGCATGATGACATATTTCCCAAATCTATACATCAATATGCCAGTAAAATCGACCCAGGCAGGTTTCAGATAGGAGTATATGACTAAGGCCAATTGGTCTGGTTGTCCATGCAATGTGACCTCTCTCTTCAAAAACCTATAGTGCCTTCAGAAAGTCTTCACACCCCTTTACTTTTTCCACATTTGTTGTGATATAAAGTGGGATTCAAATAGATTTAATTGTCATTTTTTGTCAACGATCTACACAAATACTCTGTAATGTCAAAGTGGAAGAAGAATTCTAACATTTGTAGCAAATGTATGAAAAATAAATCAGTAATATATCTTGATTAGATAAGTATTCAACCCCCTGAGTCAATAGAATCACCTTTGGCAGCGTTTACAGATGTGAATCGTTCTGGGTAAGTCTCTAAGAGCTTTGCACACCTGGATTGTACAATATTTGCACATTATTCTTTTAAAAATTCTTCATGCTCTGTCAAGTTGGTTGTTGATCATTGCTAGACAGCCATTTTCAAGTCTTGCAAAAGATTTTCAAGCTGATTTAACTCAAAACTGTAACTAGGCCACTTAGGGACATTACATTTAGTCTTGGTAAGCAACTCATGTGTATATTTAATCTTATGTTTTAGGTTATTGTACTGCTGAAAGGTGAATTTGTCTCCCAGTGTCTGGTGGAAAGCATGTATGTTCTACGTTCAAGTGTCTTTTCGAAATAAACACCTCATTTATTTAGAGTATTTTTCATAATATAAGTGACAGGTAGGCGATACCTCAGTAGCTGCAGATGTATTAACTACAACTAAATTATCCAACTTTTACATGCAAAATGGCACTTTGGGAATGCTAAGGTACCAGAAGTCAATAGAGACTCAACATTATCATCGGGGTAGAGAAGGTTGTGAGGTGTGAGTGTGTATTTTACTTATTTATATAGTTGATAAATACATTTTCCCAATATATTTTAATATATTTCTATTTTATTTAAATATATTCCAATATGTCATTTTTCCATATGCCTCATGCATGGATATCTGGATGTGAAAGCTGCAATTCATTAGAGCCTGCATTGGGCTTCTTAGTCAACATCTGATTTGGCAAAGCTGGACACCACAAGCAAAAGGACTCATCTTGACTTGTTATTAATGGACTGTAAAGAGTGCTGAAGAACTGTCAGAAAACATCATAATAACTGTGAAATGCAGCTCTGTCCAAATGCCAAAATTAATTGGATATAAACATAGGACTATTTAAACACCAATCTTTCTCAGACAGTCACAGTACACCACTTCAGCAAAATTCCTATCAGAGCCTTAACATTCAAATGACGTCTTCTGACTGGTTGATGTTTGAGATAGACCCCTCAGCAGCTGTATCAATCTGTATCAATCTGCCAGTCCCAGGAGCTCCTCTCATTCAGTCATTCAGTATGAGTGATCAGGTGGGATGGGCAGTCATTACCCAAAGGAAAGTTTTATGGGCCCCGGGTGCACTGCAGCTCCCCAAATCAATAGCTGCAGGAGGGAGAGGGTTCGGTATAGGGTTCTGTCTATTATGATGGATTGTGCATAAATGTTTATTGCTATAATTATGGAAAATAACCCTCAAGTGCAGCAGCACAGATGCACAGGGAGGTGATGGAGTGAAGCATCCTGCTTTCAGCTGTGTTTGTGGGCTATTCTACTGTAGCAAGCCCGTTGCTCTTGTTGTCTCTTGTAAGAGAATTCAGAGATGCGTTGGGTTTAAAATCATGTTCTACATTACACTCTTAATGAGCCCATGCTTGTACAAACACAGCAGTGCTTTGGAACAGGGGCCTTGTCAGAATGAGAGATACAGGATGCACAATAACAGTTGGTGGGTATCATTATACCAAGCCACATTAAGCATTCACCAGCTTGTTCATGCCTTTCTATCTTTCTTCGCCAGTTTAGTAAGTTAAGTCAGTCATGCATAAATATGAGCTTTGGAATGACACAAACCCAGATGAAGGGAGCTCTTTTGAACCTCACATTTTCATAGACAGCAGAGAAAGAAAATCATAAGAAAACATTATAGTTTGAGAAAGAGTCATTCAGAAATAGTGACACCGATGGTTTGCATTGAATAATATAAGCAGTTTTACCAACCTTCGAAAAAAGGCTTAAGTCAAAATTGTCAAATTGACTCTGTATAGAAGTTACATTTCATATAAGCATTCCACAAGCAATTCCAGACTCCTATTATAGGTTGAGTGAACAACCATTGAAACCTATACTGTGTATCTACTAAATTTAGAGGAGACGGTTAGTTAGTGAACCACATAGTAGACAGGGTTGGTATCTGTCAACTGAACTTGTTAGGTGACCTTGACAACAAGTGTCCTAATGTACGACATTACCGATTGAATCAGTGCTAAGTAGATGACTTAACACTGGAGCCATGTTTGTGGTATTGAACTGTGAACAGCACAGCCAACAGTATCAGACATCCAATCAAATCAAATAAAGGGAAAGAGAGAGGGGTGGGGGAGAGAGGGAGGGATATGGGGTGGATAGACACCAGAACAGTGAGGGCTATTGGCAAGTACAGACAGATGAGGTGGAGAGGACAAAGGAGGGAAAGGAAGTCAAGTGAACAGCAAGAGACTCGTTTTTTTATTTCATGTTGGGTTTGAATTCATTAGGGCAGGAGTAGAAAAGCATAATTGACTGGAAATGGCTGAGAACTTCTGAACACAGACCCCTTGATGGGTTGCCTGCTTGCCCTGACACCTGACCCTCAAAGCAGTGTATTTATTTTATTTGTTTATTTGACAGGGACCATGTTCTCCAGATTTTAGTATCTGCAGTCCCTGCATGCCTACACTGTTCTATCATGTTGAATCAGATTGCTGAAACCAAGGCCTCAGACACTATACAGTTATACATCACCAACACACCTCAATGGAAGACGAACCAGAACAGGAAAAGAGGGAAAATAACCCAACCATCATCGCACCACATCTCCACTAATAAATATTACACAGCCTTGTCTGTACAATACAGTGGAATCTCAGCCTCCTTTAACATCTGAATAATTAATGCAATAAAATCAGTTTTTTCGCTTCCCTCAAACTATCTTCTTTTCTTGGCCGTACTCAAAGTGGTAGCAATGGGGAACAGGACTTCAGAGCCAGGCAAAGAGCTGGAAGATAGTGGAGGAGAAGGGGACTGAAGGATGTGTGTGTGTGTGTGTGTGTGTGTGTGTGTGTGTGTGTGTGTGTGTGTGTGTGTGTGTGTGTGTGTGTGTGTGTGTGTGTGTGTGTGTGTGTGTGTGTGTGTGTGTGCGCGTGGGTGTGTGTGTGTGTGTGTGGGTGCACGTGCCAGTGTGAGACAGAAAGAGGTCATTATAGAAAGATGTTAGATAATACTTGTGGAAAATAAGTCCATGATTCTAATTCAGTGCTTCTCAAGGCTGACAATTTGATTAATTGCATAGTCAAGATCAGACTTAATGATGGCAATGTTTGCTGATTTCTCTGCTATTGAGATAATTAGAAAGTTCAAATCATTACAGATATTGAAGGGTTTCTATGAAAAGTACAATGATAAATTAATAATCATACGGGATTTGGCATTTATATATTTTTTGTAAATGTTGCATTTCCTTCTAAGAAATACCATCAAATGTTATCAGTAGGCTACTCTACTAAGATCACTGTCCTAGTTTTGTAGCCAACAACTCATCCAGTGGTCCTAATAACTGTCAACTCATGGCAATCCTTCAGGGAAACCGACCAAGGATGCTTTAATCAATTACATCCTACTCCATATCTTTGTGTGGCAAGAACGATGACAGTAGATGTACGGTTATTCTATCATGAAAGTCAACTCTATGCCCTTTAGCAAAAGGGCGTCAAGGATAAACTACTCACCGCTGCTTTGCCACATGGACACATTTCGTCAGATCAGCACAGAAAATTAATGGGCGAGTGGAGGTCCGCTGTCCTGCTCAGGTGCAATACAGAGGGGACAGGACAGGACAACGCGCGCGGAAAATTTAATAAATTACGTAGTATCCGCTGTACCAATCCCCAACCTTTTTTCTCTCATTTTGGGGAGTCATTTTTCTTCTTATTATTTGTTGGCTGGAAAAGGCCAAACATTGCATAAGAAATGTAACGAGGATTTTTTATTTGCATAAAGATATTTGGAGTAATGTGTTTTGCATCATTCTTCAGCGTTCCCCTATCAAATGTAGGCTACATGATCAAATAGAGCGGGAAGGAGAAAATTAACTAGGGAGCGCGGGAAATAATTCAGTTGTGCATAACCATTATTGTATAAGCATCCAAATAAACAAAGCAACTTGTAGGACTACTTCAGTAATCTTCAAATTGTGCTTGCAAGGACCCATCCTTTTAACCCTTTTTCGAAGTGAAGACAGATGGAGATAAACGTGGGAAATTGTGATGGGAATTTAATTGAAGGGTTTGGTTTCTTTTAGATTCGACACGTTTTTTTCAAGGAAATACGTGCTTTACCGCAGAATATCCACAGGGATGGTCACTTTTGTGGTTTTCAGTGTTAAAGGTACGAAACAAATGTGCGCTCTGAAGAGTAGCGTACCTGATGAGAATTCCATTCATCTCCGTTGAAAGTCTATTAATCACCTTCAGGCGCCGCTGCCTTTGAGCGTCACGTGGCTGCCACACGAATGCCCAGAACGAGGGCTGCGCGAACCGGAGGCGCCGGGGACGCGACATGGGACGATTCAAATACTTATAGAGGTAAGATTATATCCTGCGAGTAGTTTATTGTTGAAGTAGTTTTGTGTCTTTGCTTTCACACACATTACACACAATTAATTTGGACTATTGCTTGTGCTCCTGAAGTAGGCTTGGTTAATTTAGGCCTATTATGAAAGCCTATATGCTTAATATTGTTTATTGGATATTGAGAAAATGTTGTATTTCATGGATCTCTCAAATTTTGGTGACTATGAGCGTTTTTTAAATAAATGGACGTGGTCTAAAGGGGAGCGAAGACTGAAGACAGAAGTTTGGATCATGAAACTGGATAGATAAAGAGATCCAATGAGACAGATATAGAAAGTGAAATGTGTCATGAGAGTGAAAGTGAGACAATCTGGAATATCATGATAATTGAATACCTACGACATGTTTTTGAGAAATTCAGTTCACTGTCGCGTGCTCTGGTCACTGAGCGGCTGTCCATGGTGCTGATATGCTCTCCATGTAGTTTTGCAGTTGAATCCTGAGGCAATTGTAGCCTGTGTGATTTGTGCAAATGTTTAGATTGGCTAAAGTGCGTAGCCTATGTTTTTTTTTCGGTCGTGAGGGGGATAGGCATCTCTGTATTGGACCCAGCGATTATATGATGTGATGTATGATGTGATGTGTTATGTGATGTGGAGGTTTTTGCAATTTTGTTATCAATGGGTCAACACTGCAATTATTTAGTATGGTTAGATGCCTTGTAAATGTGTTAAACAAATAAATATTTGAACTCTCTCCAAACAAATAGCATTCTGTAAGTCTAGGGAAAATGACATGGTTAGTTGATGATAGAATACCAAGTCTAAAGGCCTATCCATTGACTTTGAGAGTTGGCCCAATGCCTTTAGAGCCTCAAGAGGTCATGTCAGACATTGTTCTCTGAGAAATCTATTTCAATAGATTTTAACCTGAGAGACAATATTCTAATGCTATGGTCTAATGATAGTCAATAGAAAGTCCTTTGCACTTCTTGTTTAGGATGCGGTCATGGGCGCTGTGTGTGTGTGTGTGTGTGTGTGTGTGTGTGTGTGTAATGTAACCAAAGTGACATTCCATGTATTTTTTAATGGATACAAAATACACCAGTGAGGTGGATCATTATGTAGATCTAGAGGACAGTGTGCCATGGAGAGTTATAACACACAACCCCAGCTATCAGATCTACTGTGTACTGCAATGTGGATCATGATGAACTTTTGAGTCCTGACTGCATGTGGATGGCCAGTGATTTGTGTATGATGGTGAATCACAGCAGTCAGTGTAAATGACTCCCTTCCTGCAGGGACACTGATGCCAGGCCAGGTCGTCATTGGAACAGAATGCAATATGTTCCGTTAATTCTAGATCCTGGGTCTGAGAGATGTGGCGAGCTGAGCTGCCACACACAGGGAGGACAGGAGAAGTAATGGTCTGAGTGTTTGTGGTGGCCTCCATTTTCCTTATCTGCCACAAGATAGCTTCAGCTCGGTCAGACATTTTGCCGTTAGAGAATACCGTATCTGTGTGGTCATCGCGTGAAATTGTGCAGCTCTTCATGCAAGCTAGTCTTTCATAGCCATTCAGATGCGATACCAGCTGAGTATATGACTATCAAACCTATCACACATCACTTCTAACTGCTTTAGAATGGATCATTCCATTAACGTTTTCTGGAGCAGGGGACTTTCAATAGACCAGTCCAGGTTACTTTCTGCCATATTTATTGGAGGTCTACAGCATCAATCATCTTCTACTTTGGTCTGATGATATATTCTGCAATATTATTCATATTTCTTCTTCTTCTTCTTCTTCTTCTTCTTCTTCTTCTTCTTCTTCTTCTTCTTCTTCTTCTTCTTCTTCTTCTTCTTCTTATTATTATTATTATTATTATGTGTGACTGGTTGCTTTGGGCTTTGATTGCGTTTATTTAGTTGGAGGTGAGAATCAGTGGAAAAAACAACTATCTACTTGAAATTCACTGGAAGCCTTTCTCTGTCTCTGCCTTAGTGTTGAGGTTATTTCTGGGTTTGATGTCATTTCTGCTGTGTAACTCCCATGCATTATTCCAGGATGGTCCTACACTGAGTGACACGTTCCGTGAACCTTTCCCACAGTACCAAACATTCTCAGCAGGAAGGAAAGCAAACTAAGATGGACTCAACCTATTAGGAGGCTTTTGATTTAAAAACCATACAACGTGTGCATTTATAGTATGTGCCGAAGTTCATTTGTCTTTCTTTTACCATGTCTCTGCGTAGACCAGTAGATTCTTTTGAAATTCATCATTACTTGAGCTTGATTTTCTTTCCAAAACAAGTAAATCGAGGGCTTTTCAATTCCCCCTCTAATGTACATATTTCCGTGAAATAACTTAAGTTAACCTGATGCTCAGAAGGAATGTGCAATTACTGCACTATGCCCAGGTCCATTGTTTCAAAGAGTGGAAGTGATCACTAAAAGCAGCAACAAGATTCCCAATGAGGGCTGTTGTCAAGGATACAAATCTATATAACAGAGATAGATTATATATGTTTAAGCACCACTCCCCCCTTCAATCTGTCCCCCTTTCTCCTTCTATTCTCTTTTCTCTCCAGAGTGTTGATGGAGAGGACTTCGAATGTCAGCCGGGACAGTGGTTATCTGTGGTGGAATTCTAGCTACAGTTATCTTACTGACTATCGTTGCAGTACTGTGCTACTGTAGGTTGCAGGTAGGCTATAGTCTTGCCATGAAGAATTTGATTTTGTGAAGTAGCCATGTTTTGTCTACCTTGGCTGTAATGAGTGCATGTATGCTAAGGTTTTACGGCAACCAGCTTGTTCACTCTGTCACATGTTTCTCTCTGCTCCATTGGCAGTATTATTGCTGTAAGAGGGAGGAGCCAGAGAGGGAGGAGGAGGAGCAACCGGACCTCACCATCATGTCCTCTCTCCCCACACTAGTGCACACGGCTGGTGACTCCGACGTGATGACCACGCCCCCCTCCGAGCCCAACGGGCCCGCGTTTGTCTACACTCCACCCCTGATCCGCAAACCAGTGACACGCTCCCATAGGTTCTGCCCATCCTGCACACGCTACTCCCTGCCCTTCTACCTGCAGCACCCCTCTGAGAGACTGCATAACGGTGGTGGCCGCAGCTACAGGACTGTGCAGCAGCAGGAGCTGGACCTGCCCATGGACCTGGCCAGCTTCAACCACAAGCTCAACCTCATCCGCTCTGTCACCATGAGGGAGGTGGTCACCCACAGCCACAGTGTCAGTACCGATGTGTAGCCCCATTGTGGCTGGGAGGACCAATGTCAGGGATCTGACCTGGCTGGAGGGAATTTTATTGCACTCTTACTTACTGTAGATATTTTCCACCTCACCAAACCGATGGATACGTTCACTCGCTCACATGATGTAGAGAGGTTTTTTGGTCTCACATGCAGATATAGGGACACCTACTACTGAATTCACATGAACAATATTTTCTTTTTTTAAAGGGCTTAATATCATAGGCATATAGGATCTGTGATTATGAGGGAGACATTTTTTCTCAAGAGAAGCTTAAGCAGGCAGATTAATAACTTTGGTACTGTGTATGTTGTGTGATACCTGTACTGTACATTCTCTTGGGGTTTATGCAGGTGATGACACATAAGTACTGTAAGCTGCTAAAATAAGTACAGAACCCTAAGTAATATTTGAGTCCCACTAGAGTAGACAGAAAATGACTTGAACCTGATTCCCCAATCTTCTGAAGTGTTTTGGTTGAAGTTTTGAGTGTCCCCATAATAGCTTTTTAATAGAGTGTGGAAACTAAACTATTTTAAGAGCTCATCTGGTGACAATTTAAAGGGAAAATATGCTTAAATATATATTTGAAGGGATTTTCATGTCTCTCATTGTCAAGTCCGATACTTCAAGTTCCACAATACATTTGACATACGTAAATTGAGTTGGTTTCTCCAGTAATGTGTGTAATGTTCACTTGGCAAGTATGGGTGGCCAAACCCTTTTCGATTTACGAAGAAATGTAACATGGCATGTGTTGTTTGCTTTAACAGTGTTTTTTCTTCTTAGTGTATAGGATATTTGTTTGTTATTTTAGCAGTAAATGTGAGAGGGTAAACCCCACACAGAAACCAGCAGGTGGCATCAGGTCCTAATCCATGCATTTCCCATCAAATATACTACTACGTTGGATGAACCATATGTGGAATACAGTGTCAACAATAAACAGATGGAAAAATGAGTGCATGTTTTTTTGTATGTCTGATATTCTGAACCCAACATAGCAAACAAAGAAACAGCTTTAATTGACACTTTTTCATGGAAATACAGGGACATACATTGAGCATTTCAGTTAATAACAGTACAAAATGTCAATGATAACTTTTTTGTACAAAGAGGTATCAGTTATACAAAAACAGTAAACTAGATATAGATATTATCACAAAATGAGACACACGCTCTTGAATGTATTTCAACCTTTTCAAGTGTCATAAATCTTTCAGTCCATAAATGGGATAACTGTATGGTCATACTGTTGTCATTACTCTCTAAATTCACTCTCTCATTCACACTTAACTAACTAGCATTTAGTAACTTCAAGAATGTTATGCCATGATTGATAAAATCATGTGTGATGAGCAATAAATAAATGGTATGTCCTGCAAAAATACCCAATAATATAGAAATAGCGGTATGGACATAATAACAATAGAATGGGCAGAATAAAATGGGGCAGTTACAAGAGATGAAGCAGCAATGAGTCTTGAGACATTTTTCAAAGCTTTTCTTTGACATATTGTATTATTTCTCATAGCATAGCCAAGGATAACACTCAGTAAGGCCACCTTCCCTGTGCCTGACACTAATGAACAATATAATGAAATAATATTCATAATCAATATTTATCATAAATACAGTCTAGACATGCAGTATAGTCAACCAGGAAATAATGTCATGTATCTTTCCACATCAGTGTGGCCCATTGTCTTAATAGGTTGTTCATATTTGGAGTAATGACTGCTGGTTTCAGTGATTTCTAGGGTAGGATTCTCTCTTCAAAAGACACAAATAGATGAACCAGTTCCCTCTTCGCTCTCTTGTCTTCCCCCCTTGACTCTTAATACTTCAGGGTTTCAGTCTTTGCATGTGCCCAATTGACAACCTCTGAAAGAAAGGTATGTGGTTGTGGTTCAGACTGAAGCCTTCATCATATTCTACTGTTCCTTCCTTATTTAGATCAGGCCCTTTGGATATACCGTAGCCTACTGTGGTATAGTAGAGTAGCCTACTGGGGGGAAAGGTTTTGTGGGTGTCAGGCAATACTAAGAGGCGTGCTGGGCCCTGCAGGAATGGCAGCAGGCCTTGCTGTAGTACCAGTGGCTGCACAGGTTCACCTTCAGAGCTAGAGAGCAGTTGGTGGTGGGCCGGTCCTGACAGCGCTCATCTGCATGGCAGAGAGACATTTATGATGTGTTCAATCATATGGAAAAAGTAGCCTCACCACAATCAGGAAATACTGTACAGACAAATCTATTAATTAATTAATTAATTAATCAGCCTTTTTGCCTCCATAATCTAAACGCTCAGGACTTTGGGCTGTTATGAAAGAAAGAGGTGCTTGCCCACACTAATAATTCTCTCAGTTGTGAAAAGGAAAAAAGTACTACAAATAATACATTTAAAAACAAGTGCTTTGACGATGCTGTGTTCTCCAGTGTACTTTTGCCTGTGACTAGACATAAGCTACTGTAACTCTCCTAAAGTTGCCAGAAGCTGTGGTGAGGTGCTGCTTGTATAGCCTGATCCCAGATCTGTTTGTGCCGTCTTGCCAACTCCTATGGTCATTGGCGTTGGAAAGACAGCACAAACATATCTGGGACCAGGCTATTGCTTACATACCTGGGGGTTCAGTGGGACAAGGTTGCAGGGCGCAGGTCTGCTTGGCCACAGGCTTGGTCAGGGGGTCACACCCTCTCACGATCTCCCTAGCCTGGTAGCACTTTACATCTCTCATCCTGACACCCACACCACACGTCTTAGTGCACTGAGGAGTGAACACACCACACGTCTTAGTGCAATGAGGAGTGAACACACATTTTACATTTAAATTTTAGTCATTTAGCAGACGCTCTTATCCAGAGCGACTTACGGGAGCAATTAGGGTTAAGTGCCTTGCTCAAGGGCACATCGACAGATTTTTCACCTAGTCGGCTAGGGGATTAGAACCAGCGACCTTTCGGTTACTGGCACAACGCTCTTAACCATTAAGCTACCTGCCGCCCCAAACCACACGTCTTAGTGCAGGAATAAACACAGCAGCACTGCTCACTGTCGCCATATATGTGAGGTGTGTAGATAGAATGTATTGCTCATGTCATGATGTTTTTAGATACCATTTCAACCATGGCATTGTATCTCACCTCAGACCAGGGCGTGGTGTACCACTTGAAACAGGGCCTCTCAAAGCAGGTGTTCTCGTCCTCTGGCCTCTCACTGGCACCACAGTCCTCGTTGTTGTGGGTCTGGAACTTCCCAGAAGTGATGCCGGCGCATTGCACGATCCTCCACTTCACACCACGGCCACATGTCGTGTTACACTGAGAGGAAAATAAGATTGCTCTTAGCTAATGAATCTCTAACCAAAAAAACATCAACAAAACATAAAGAGAACATATATAGAACATCAAGAGAACATCAAGTAAACATTGCCAAAATGTTCATCATAACATCAACAGACCATCAATAAAAAACATAGAACACCAACAGAGCATTAAGAGAACATCAACAGAAGGACCCAGTTTCCTTACCCTCTCCCAGTCCTGAGTGAGCCAGTGTGGGGCACAGTCCTTCTCCCCACAGGGATGGATGGCCAGGGGCTTATTCTCCGGAGAGCACTGGGATTCAGGCACCACACGACCCTCTGGTGTCTTACAGTACACGTGGCGTACCATCTTCCCCTGGCCGCACGACCCCGAGCACTGCAGAGGTCAAAGGTTAACAGGAATGACAAGGCCAGAAAATATTGTATCAGTGATCAAGAGCGACTTACAGTCAGTGCAATCCCTATTCCTATCAGTAATCAATGTACCAAACAAATGGAGTAGTATAGTGAAAGTAGTGTACTCACCGGCCCCCACTCTGACACAGTCCACTGGCGCTCGCAGGGCGGGCCTGTGCAGTTCTTGGTGTTAGGGGGGCTGGTCGGGGGATCACATGACTTGGTTTCGTCTGAACACCTGACCTCCCGGGTCACCTGGGCCCTGTGGCCACACTTGGCTGGACACTGGACAGGAGAGAGGAGAGGCACAGGACAGACTCACTTTCAATATCATCTACAGCTGCCCAAACAGTTGTAAGTAGGATGCAACAATGTACTTACTACAGTTTTCCTACGCAGTAATTCCTGTAATGTAAACCACACACACACACACAACCCCTGTCCCACCGCCAACTCCCACAGTATAGCTCCACCCACCTCAGTCCACTCTGCCACCTCCCATTGGGGGCCACAGGTGGGGCTCTTACAGGCACGGCGCTCCAGGGGCCTCTCCAGCTCTGCCAGGGTGCAGAGGTCACTGTACACAGAGCTGTCCAGCCCGGGGGACAGCATCTTCCAGCAGCGCACCAGACGGAACTGGAAGCCCTCGCCACAGGTACAAGAACACTCACTCCAGTTGCTGGCCTCCCACCTGAGGGTGAAGGAATGCACACAGAGTAGAGTTCAGGTATAATTAGTTATCTTCTGAAGTCAATGAAATCAAATATTATTACTGTAAATGGTATGGTAGCGGCCAACACCAGTTTACAGTTCCTTGTTCAACGTGGAAAAGAGACAAACATTGTTCTCAAGGAACTTTGATTCCCACAACGTCCTTATTCACTGAGTATACAAAACATTAAGAACAGCTGCTCTTTCCATGACCTAGACTGACCAGGTGAAAGCTAAGATCCCTTATTGATGTCACTTGTTACATCCACTTCAAATGGGGGGAGGGGGGGGGGGGTACAACTCAATATTAGGAAGGTGTTACTAATGTTCGGTATACTCAGTGTAGTACTTTTTAAGTCTGTTATTTTCTGGTGCATACCTGGGCTGGCACTCCCTCCCAATGCAGAAGTCATGAACAGGCTCAGGTCGAGTCATAGTGTCACAGTGCATGTCATCTACCTCAGCGCCGTCGTAGCGCACACACATGGCAAAGGACTTTGACACTCCTGTAGTGGAAATTATAACAGGCCAGCGAAGGAATAACTTAAAATGTCATAACTTATCCATATACGTGTGTGCGTGTTTGTGTGTCTACCTATAGAGCAGGTGGAGGTGCAGGGTTCCTGAGAAGACAGTTTCCAGCGGTACATGTCTGCAGGGCTCAGCTTGAAGTTCTTCTGCAGGAACCTCTGATTAGTCCTGTCAAACACGACATAACCAGGCCTTCACAGTGAACCCACTGAACCCCAGCTCTCCCTCTCACGCACACACACACATTGCTGATTCACTGCTACGGCTGATTAACCTCACCATCAAAATCATAACAACCAGCGACATTCTGTTTTTCATTCATTCACATAAAAGTGACATATCACTGGCCATTTTTTATTACCAGAGCAGAGATGCTTTAGAGGAAAAGGGGGACCAGGAGAGGGAGGGAGGAGGAGAATGAGAATGAGTAGGAGGAAAGGAGGAAGAGGAGGAGGAAGATGAAGAAGAGGAGGAAAAGGAGGAAGAGGTAGAGGTAGAGGAGGTAGAGGAGGAGGAGGAGGAAGTGGAGGACGAAAATGAGGAAGAGGTAGAGGAGGTAGAGGAGGACGAAAATGAGGAAGAGGTAGAGGAGGTAGAGGAGGAAGAGGAGGAAGAGGAACTGGAAGTGGAAGTGGAGGAGGAAAATTAGGAAGAGGTAGAGGAGGAAGAGGAAGAAGAGGAAGTGGAAGTGGAGGAGGAAAATTAGGAAGAGGTAGAGGAGGAAGAGGAAGAAGAGGAGGAGAAGAAGAAAAAAAGGGATACAGTCTTTCACTTAAAAACAAATAATTTAAGGTATTTGCGGCAAAGTGAAAAATATGACTGGGAAGAAACATACTGTCAGACTGTAGTCACCTCTAGGGAGAAATGTGCAGAAATTAGTCACAGTTACACTGAGATATGCCAGTGAAGTATGATTCAAAGTTCCTGTGTATTTTCAAATAATCTGTCCCCCTCCGTCTCCTACTTGCCCTTCTCTCTACAGTGACATCAAGCTTCGGCTCTCCCACAAACGCCTCATGATCTTCACCTGCCGAGACATGCCACACAGGGGCGACAGCGAGCACGACCGCCAGGCCCGCACCAAGGCTAGCGACCTCAAAGAGACTGGTGTGATGATAGACCTGATGCATCTGATGAAGCCAGGTGGGTTCGACGTCTCGCTCTTCTTCTGCGACGTGGTGAGCCCCCCCGAGGACGAGGCTGAGCTGGGCCTGCAGATGGAGCCTTGTAGGAAATTGGAGGACCTCCAGAAGAGGGTCAGAGCCAAGGAGATGAAGAAGAGATCGTTCGCAAGGTTGAATCTGTGTCTGGGGGAAGGGATGAACATGGCGGTGGGTGTGTACATCACGGCCCTACAGACCAAGAAGCCTAACGCCATCAAGCTCTACAGAGACAACAACGAGCCTGTCCGCACTAAGACACGACTCTACCACACACAGACGGGCAGCCTGCTGCTCCCCAGCGACACCAAGAAGGCTCAGGTGTATGCAGGCAAGCAGATAGTGATGGAGAAAGACGAGGTGGATGTGATAAAGAAGTTTTCTGACCCGGGTCTGGAGCTGATTGGGTTCAAGCCCATGGAGCGTCTCAAACTGCACCATCACCTCAGATCTGCTGTCTTCATCTACCCAGAGGAGGAAATGGTCACAGGGAGTGCCTGTGTTTTCACAGCGTTGCTGCGCAGATGTAGTGAGAGGAACGTGTTCAATCTGTGTAAATACACACAGATTCTTAACTCTCCCACGCGCTTCTTAGTGCTGGTGCCCCAAAGAGAGGTGGATGAGGGCCAGGCTCAGATTGCAGCTCCAGGCTTCCATGGCATCTTCCTGCCCTACGCGGATGACATCCGTACCCTGGACACTCCTCAGCTCCCCATGGCCTCCAACGCCCAGGTGGACAAGATGAAGGTGAAAAATCTGTCGATGTGCCCTTGAGCAAGGCACTTAACCCTAATTGCTCATGTAAGTCGCTCTGGATAAGAGCGTCTGCTAAATGACAAAAAAATAAAATAAATAAAAATAAGGAGATAGTACACAAGCTACACTTCAAATACAGGAGTGATGCGTTTGAGAACCCAGTCCTCCAGCAACACTACAGGAACCTGGAAGCCTTGGCTTTAGATCTCATGGCCCCAGAGCACGTAGAGGACCACACCATGCCCAATGTGAATATGATGGACCAGCGTCTTGGTTCCCTGGCTCAGGAGTTCAGAGATCTGGTGTACCCTGCTGACTACAACCCAGAGGGCAAGACTGCACCCAAACGCAAACCAGCTGAGGCGGCAGGCGGCGCAGAGAAGAAGCCCAAGGTGGAGATGTCTGAGGACGAGCTGAGGGGTCACGTACAGAAAGGCACCCTGGGTAAGCTGACGGTGCCCGTGCTGAAGGACGCCTGTAAGCAGTTTGGGGTGAAGGTCACAGGGACCAAGAAACAGGAGCTAATAGACGCCCTGACTGCACAGCTCACGAAATTAGGCTTAGATGTCAAAATATGTTGACATCTACGCTGTTGATATTCTGGTCAGAGGCACTAGGAAGCAGGATTATTGGTCTGTCTTTGCTTTAGGCTTACATTTCAAGATGTCTAATCTGAGATATAACACTGTACTTCAAATGGGGAAAATATGCAATGTTTCTCATTTGCGTTGCTAGAAGAAGAATATTACTTTTTGTTTCTTTACATATTTTAAACTTTGAAAAAAAAAATGAAGAGGAACAATGTAATTGTCTGTAATTGTCTGAGATTGTGTAGCTCAGTTGGTAGAGCATGGCGTTTGCAACGCCAGGGTTGTGGGTTTGTTTCCCATGGGGGGCCAGTATGAAAAAATGTATGCACTCACTAACTGTAAGTCGCTCTGGATAAGAGCGTCTGCTAAATGACTAAAATGTAAATGTCTTCCTCTACTCCCCTCCTATCCTTCTCCTCCTCCAATATGTTCTTCTCCCCAGGGCAGGGGAAGACAGGGTGGGTCATGTGATGTGTTTTATGGGGCACTGGCAGGAGAACTGGCGAAGCGGTGTTTGGACGCAGGGAAGCCAACATGAATTACTGTACCTGGTTCTGTTGGTACTGTTGTTGCTCCTCACCCCCATCAGCAGAGTCCTGTTGGGGAACGGCAGGTCTCCACTATCATTTCTCCGCCGGCCCAGACTGAACTCCCCCAGTGAGCTTTTGAGGGGGAACTTCACGCTGCTATAGTCTACCTCCAATGGCCCCACCTCCGACGAGAACAATCCCTCTCCCTCGTCCGGACCAATCTGCTCGCCCAGCAAGACTCTCCAGATGAGATTCTCTGAGTCTGGCACCTCCTCTAAAGGCCTGCTGGCTGCCGGGGCAGGGACTGCTACACCGCCTGTGTGACTGCTGTTGCCGTCTGTTGGGATGGCAGGAAGGGAGAGGAAAGATCGAGAAATTATAGGGAGAAAAAAGTGTGAGAAAGCCTTATACTAAGCCGAACAAGAGGTGTTTCCTGGTCAGGTGGTCAAGAAGAACTCCTGGTGCTTCTTATACTGTATGTAAAGAGGAAAAACTCCTGGTGCTTCATATACTGCATGTAAAGAGGCATTTTATGTGCAGTTTGTGCACTACAACAAAACAGCACACAAAGCCTTTCTGCACATTCCTAATGGCAGTAGAGAGGGCCTCAGTCTCACCCAGTGGTCAAACTCCCTGCAGAACTGTCTCACAGTCCGAGTAGAGGGGCTGTCTGAGACCCTGTTGCAGGCAGGTAGGCAGGCAGGCCTGCACCCATTACCACTCATGTTTGTGATGCAGCCAATTTTATTAAGGAGAAAATGCCAGGGCTCCCTGAATTTTTCATCTACACGAGCTCATCTTTGTATATACACTACTGGTCAAAAGTTTTAGAACACCTACTCATTCAAGGGTTTTTCTTTATTTTGACAATTTTCTACATTGTAGAATAATAGTGAAGACATCAAAACTATGAAATAACACATATGGAATCATGTAGTAACCAAAAAGGTGTTAAACAAATCAAAATATATTTTATCTTTGAGATTCTTCAAAGTAGCCACCCTTTGTCTTGATGACAGCTTTGCACACTCTTGGCATTACTACATGATTCCATATGTGTTATTTCATAGTTTTGATGTCTTCACTATTATTCTACAATGTAGAAAATAGTCAAAATAAAGAAAAACCCTTGAATGAGTAGGTCTTCTAAAACTTTTGACCGGTAGTGTATATAGTGTATAATCAAATCAAATTGTATTTGTCACACGCGCCGAATACAACAGGTGTAGACCTTACTGTGAAATGCTTACTTACAAGCCCTTAACCAACAATGCAGTTCAAGAACTAGAGTTAAGAAAATATTTACTAAATAAACTAAAGTAAAAAAATCAAATCAAATCAAAAAGCAACACAAGAAAATTACATAACAATAACGAGGCTATATACAGGGGGTACTGGTCCGAGTCAATGTGCGGGGGTACAGGTTAGTTGAGGTAATTTGTAAAGTGACTATGCATAATTAATAAACAGCTAGTAGCTGGGGGGGGTCAATGTAAATAGTCTGAGTGGCCATTTGATTAATTGTTCAGCAGTCTTATGGCTTGGGGGTAGAAGCTGTTACGGAACCTTTTGGTCCTAGACTTGGCGCTCCGGTACCGCTTGCCGTGCGGTAGCAGAGAGAACAGTCTATGACTTGGGTGACTGGAGTCTTTGACAATTATTTGGGCCTTCCTCTGACACCGCCTAGTATATAGGTCCTGGATGTCAGGAAGCTTGGCCCCAGTGATGTACTGGGCCGTACGCACTATCCTCTGTAGCGCCTTACAGTCAGATGCCGAGCAGTTGCCATACCAGGTGTGATGCAACCGGTCAGGATGCTCTCGATGGTGCAGCTGTATAACTTTTTGAGGATCTGGGGACCCATGCCAAATCTTTTCAGTCTCCTGAGGAGGAAAAGGTGTTGTCGTGCCCCCTTCACAACTGTCTTGGTGTGTTTGGACCATGATAGTTTGTTGGTGATGTGGACACCAAGGAACTTGAAACTTTCGACCCACTCCACTTCAGCCCTGTCGATGTTAATGGGGGCCTGTTCGGCCCTCCTTTTCCTATAGTCCACGATCAGCTCCTTTGTCTTGCTCACATTGAGGGAGAGGTTGTTGTCCTGGCACCACACTGCCAGGTCTCTGACCTCCTCCCTATAGGCTGTCTCATCGTTGTCGGTGATCAGGCCTACCACTGTTGTGTCGTCAGCAAACTTAAATGATGGTGTTGGAGTCGTGCTTGGCCACGCAGTCGTGGGTGAACAGGGAGTACAGGAGGGGACTAAGCACACACCCCTGAGGGGCCCTATGGTGTTGAACGCTGAGCTGTAGTCAATGAACAGCATTCTCACATAGGTGGGAAAGGGATTGAGATGCGTTATCTGTGGATCTGTTGGGGCGGTATGCGAATTGGAGTGGGTCTAGGGTTTCCGGCATGATGGTGTTGATGTGAGCCATGACCAGCCTTTCAAAGCACTTCATGGCTACCGACGTGAGGGCTAAGGGGCGGTAATCATTTAGGCAGGTTACCTTCACTTTCTTGGGCACAGGGACTATGGTGGTCTGTTTGAAACATGTAGGTATTACAGACAGGGAGAGGTTGAAAATGTCAGTGAAGACACTTGCCAGTTGGTCTGCGCATGCTTTGAGTACACGTCCTGGTAATCTGTCTGGCCCCGCGGCTTTGTGAATGTTGACCTGTTTAAAGGTCTTGCTCACATCGGCTACAGAGACCGTGATCACACAGTCATCCAGAACAGCTCGTGCTCTCATGCATGCTTCAGTGTTGCTTGCCTCGAAGCGAGCATAAAAAGACATTTAGCTCATCTGGTAGGCTCGCGTCACTGGGCAGCTTGAGGCTGGGTTTCCCTTTGTAGTCCATAATATTTTTCAAGCCCTGCCACATCCAACAAGCATCAGAACCGGTGTAGTAGGATTCAATCTTAGTCTTGTATTGACACTTTGCCTGTTTGATGGTTCGTCTGAAGGCATAGCAGGATTTCTTATAAGCGTCCGGATTAGTGTCCCGCTACTTGAAAGCGGCAGCTTTAGCCTTTAGCTCGGTGCGGATGTTGCCTGTAATCCATGGCTTCTGGTTGGGAAATGTACATACGGTCACTGTGGGGACGACGTCGTCGATGTGCTTATTGATGAAGCCTGTGACTGAGGTGGTATACTCCTCAATGCCATTGGATGAATCCTGGAACATATTCCAGTCTGTGCTAGCAAAACAGACCTGTAGCGTAGCATCCGCGTCATCTGACCACTTCCGTATTGAGCGAGTCACAGGTACTTCCTGCTTAGTTTTTGATTGTAAGCAGGAATCAGGAGGATAGAATTATGGTCAGATTTGCCAAATGCAGGGCAAGGGAGTGCTTTTTATGCGTGTCTGGGCGTGGAGTAAAGGTGGTCTAGAGTTTTTTTTCCTCTGGTTGCACGTGACATGCTGATAGAAATTAGGTAAAACGGATGTAAATTTGCCTGCATTAAAGTCCCCGGCCACTAGGAGCGCCGCTTCTGGATGAGCATTTTCTTGTTTGCTTATGGCCTTATACAGCTCGTTGAGTGCGGTCTTAGTGCCAGCATCGGTTTGTGGTGGTAAATAGATAGCTACGAATAATATAGATGAGAACTCTCTTGGTAGATAGTGCGGTCTACAGCTTATCAAATCAAATGTTATTTGTCACATACACGTGTTTAGCAGATGTTATAGCGGGTGTAGCGAAATGCTTGTGCTTCTAGCTCCGACAGTGCAGTAATATCTAACAATTTCACAACATATACCCCCAATACACAAAAAACTAGTAAGGAATGGGATTTAAGAATATATACATATACGGACAAGCAATGACAGAGCGGCATGGACTAAGATACAGTAGAATATTATAGAATAGAATGCAGTATATACATATGAGATGAGTAGTGCAAGATATGTAAACATTATTAAAGTGACTAGTGTTCCATTTCTTAAAGTGGCCAGTGATTTCAATAGGCAGCAGCAGCCTCTAATGTGCTAGTGATGGCTATTTAACAGTCTGATGGCCTTGAGATAGAAGCTGTTTTTCATTCTCTCGGTCCCAGCTTTGATGCACCTGTACTGACCTTGCCTTCTGGATGATAGCGGGGTGAACAGGCAGTGGCTCGGGTGGTTGATGTCCTTGATGATCTTTTTGGCTTTCCTGTGATATCGGGTGTTGTATGTGTCTTGGAAGGCGGGTAGTTTGCCCCCGGTAATGCGTTCGGCAGACCGCACCACCCTCTGGAGAGCTCTGCGGTTGTGGGCGGTGCAGTTGCCATACCAGGCGGTGATACAGCCCGACAGGATGCTCTCAATTGTGCATCTGTAAAAGTTTGTGAGGGTTTTAGGTGCTAAGACGAATTTCTTCAGCCTCCTGAGGTTGAAGAGGCTCTGTTGCACCTTCTTCACCACACTGTCTGCGTGGGTGGACCATTTCAGTTTGTCGGTGATGTGTACGCCAAGGAACTTGAAGCTTTCCACCTTCTCCACTGCGGTCCCGTCGATGTGGATAGGGGGGTGCACCCTCTGCTGTTTCCTGAAGTCCACGATAATCTCCTTTGTTTTGTTGATGTTGAGTGAGAGGTTATTTTCCTGGCACCACACTCCCAGAGCCCTCACCTCCTCCCTGTAGGCTGTCTTGTCATTGTTGGTAATCAAGCCTACTACTGTTGTCGTCTGCAAACTTGATGATTGAGTTGGAGGCGTGCTTGACCACGCAGTCATGGGTGAACAGGGAGTACAGGAGGGGGCTGAGCATGCACCCTTGTGGGGCCCCATTGTTGAGGATCAGCGAAGTGGAGATGTTGTTTCCTACCTTCACCACCTGGGGGCGGCCCGTCAGGAAGTCCAGGACCCAGTTGCACAGGGCGGGGTTCAGACGCAGGGCCTCAAGCTTAATGATGAGCTTGGAGGGTACTATGGTGTTGAATGCTGAGCTATAGTCAATTAACAGCATTCTTACATAGGTATTCCTCTTGTCCAGATGGGATAGGGCAGTGTGCAGTGTGATGGCGATTGCATCATCTGTGGATCTGTTGGGGCGGTAAGCAAATTGAAGTGGGTCTAGGGTGACAGGTAAGGTAGAGGTGATATGATCCTTGACTAGTCCCTCAAAGCACTTCATGATGACAGAGGTGAGTGCTACAGGGCGATAGTCATTTACAGTGAGGGAAAAAAGTATTTTGTACGTTTGCCCACTGACAAAGAAATGATCAGTCTATAATTTTAATGGTAGGTTTATTTGAACAGTGAGAGACAGAATAACAACAAAAAAATCCAGAAAAACGCATGTCAAAAATGTTATAAATTGATTTGCATTTTAATGAGGGAAATAAGT